CAGCCTCCCTGCCCTCGCGGGGAGCCCCCTGGCTGGCAACTCCAGACCGAGGCCCCCGAGCGTGGGCCCAGCTGTCCCACCCGCCTCGCCCAGTGTCGCCAGCAGACGCCCCTCCTCCCTGCGGATGTCTCCTAGGTATTTATCCAGCAGGAGAGCTGCGTGTGTGCGCACGTGCGTGTGTGTTTGCAGTGCAGGGGAAGCAGGTTAACATGCTTCTGAAGATCTGCTGTGTGGCACTGACCACCTCAGCTACACTCGGTATCTCGATCATTAACCTGTGTCGCTTACTGGAATGGGCGTGGGCCCCGAGTCCCCGCTGTCAGGCGCTGACCATGTGGAAGGCAAGGCTCGCTCTACTGTGCGTCCCTTTCTTCCCTCCTTCACGGGACCTCCTTCCTGTACCAAAACAGAAAGAGTGAACTTTGTTGTTTGCCATCTACTTCCTGTGTCATCTCTCGTCACTACTGAGTTTCAGAAACTGTGGTCAGCATTGAATTTGAGAGTTGGGGCTTGGAGGATCACTCTTTGACTGCACCGTGGCCAAGGGGGCTTGACTTGCAGGAGCGGGGTACAGGTCCAGGCCTGTTGTCCTCCTCCTGGAGAGTGCAGCCGGCCTGTTCCTGCCTCGGCGCTTCGATTTTTGGTTACATGTAAGTTGTAGCCTGTTAGGAAGCAGTGGTGTCAGAGTCGCATGAATCCAGGGCCCCTTCTCTCAAACGTAGCTGTGTGCTGCTATAATCTTTTCTGCATGGCAGTGGACCAGACTTTTAGCATACAATTTCTTTTAAAACAGACAGCAGATATTAAAGCTTCTCTGCGTCCTGTTTGACCTTGTCTCCTGACGTCCGTTTTTTGTTTCCGTGTGGTAGTATGTACGACACTCCCTTCTCCTTCCTCTTCCTTGCGCTTACTGGGGACAGTAGCGATGAAGAAGATGAAGAGGATGATGATAATGGTGGTGGTGATGATGAAGGTGGTGGTGGTGGTGATGATTTTTCTTGTGTCCAGTTTGGGTCCAGGTATCCGAGGAATGAAGTCTTACCTGCATGTGTGTTGGCGCTTAGGAACTAACCTCCAGGAGCACAACTTGGGGATATGTGTGCTTTGAACCCACACAGGACAGCATGAGCTCAGGTGGGGTGGCAGGTGAATCCAAGTGTGAGGGAAAAAGCAACACATAGGACAGATCTCGTACTTGTCGTCTAGTACGTTTGGGGGTAAACTTATAATCATTTGTCATAAACCTGAAAACAGGTTCAGGACCATTCATCAGGTTCACCCACTGTTAGGTCTAAAACAAGGGGCTCTTCTTTTCTTTATTGCAAGAATGTTCTTGACAGGCATGGTGGCACACACCTGTAATTCCAGCACTCAGGAGGCAGAGGCAGGAGGACCTCCACAAGTTCAAGGCCAATCTGAGCTACATAGTAAATTCAAGGCCCGCCTGAACTGCACAGCGAGACCCTGACTTGAAAAAGAAGAAAAGAATATTCTTGTGAGCTGCAGATCAGCAGCAGTGTGTACCCTCGGAGGCTTGTTTCTGTTGGTCCTGCTGATGGATTTCTGGTATTTAGGAAAGGGGCCAGAGCTGAGGCTTGGGTGTGCACGTGCGTGTGTGCGTGTGCATGCACGTATTCATTCTCCTCCATCCCCACCACCATCAAGCTTGGTCTAGGCCATTGGTGGCGAACTTATGGTATGCACGCCTCAGTCAGCTTTTAGTTACCATTGAAAGCTCCAGAGGGTTTGCCAACCACTGGTCTCGGCAGTCATGAAGAACATAGAGGCTGTATTGTGCGGCATAACTGGACTCCTCTTTCACCTCTGACCTTTCGCCTCCCTGAGCAGCTCCTTGTTCTCAGCGAAGCCAGGCCCCACTGTTACAGGGCCTTGAGTGCTGCTTGGGTTCCTAGGTGACTTTGAGCAGGAAAATGCAGCCCTTTCTTTCTGATCTTCTGACTCTGTCTTACAGTTTTGCCCTTAAATCCCAGTTTCCTCTGGACAGAGTTGGTATTTGTGCCTAGTGGTGTTCAAAAACAACCCCAGGCTATAAATAGGGCTTGGCATAGGCATCAGGGCCACTTGATTAAATTAACAGAAGAGCCATCAGATATCAATTAAGGAAGGTTGGTATTTGAATTAGGTTGAGCACTACGTTACCATTTGCCATGTACGTTTCCCAAAGGCCGAGGTATCCTTTCATGTCTGTGAAATCCTATTGCATGGTTGTAATTACGCGCAGGCATCTTCCTTGCGGATCACCGTCCACCTGTGGGAACAGTGCTTGTTGTCTGTGTTGCTGAGTTACCTGTGGGAGAAATCGTCTCTCTTCCTGGCCTGTTTAAGTCTTTCTCTGACCAGTGTATCTGGGCTTTGCTACTTTTCCTAATGCCTCTTTTTAGGTTTCTAACGTCCCAACTTTGCCTCAGATGTGGATTCTGTGGCTGATGGGGGAGAAATGTGCAGTAGCAGCCGCGAACCCTTGAGCACCGCGTGCCGATGCTGTGTGAGCTCTCAGCCTCTGTCACCGGCCCCTGTGGCCCCTGTAGCTCGAGAGGACCAGGGACAGGGAGGGCAGCGTCCCAGATCGGAGCTCACACTCTGCACCACTCCACAGTGCTCTGGCCTTTCCATCATTGCCCAGCAGTCCCTGTGTTCCTGTCCCTTATTGGCCACCTTGCTATCAAGAATCCCCATATCTACTGTTCCTTGGCCGAGAAACGCCATTGTTTTACGCTTTAGTTATGGAATCCTGTCCCGGTCAGTTCGTTGGCTCCTCATCGGCTGTCACAGCGAATAGGGATGATCCAGATTATAGATTAGGTGATAATTGTAGATTACTAGCAGATGTCAAGAAGGATGTGAAAGGGCGAGTTTGAGTTCAGAACCATTCAGACAGACATGGAGCTTGAAGACACGTGCATGGTTGGAACCAGGAAGAGGTAGGTAGCGGAAAAAAAAAAAAAGTTTTAATTTGAGCAGTCAGCAAAGAAATACATTTTTCTTTCTCCTTTCTAATCGATCTTCCTTGAACTTTGTATATTTTGAAGTAAGCAGTTTTTCTCCCCTGGTGCCAGGGATCGAATTCAGGATCTTGTACCTGCAAAGCAGGTGAGGCCCCACTGAGCTAAATCAGTGGTCCCTGAAGTCAGCAGTTTTAACCCTGCTTCTTGCCTGATAAGCCTAGTGCCCCAGAATCAACAGGGGTCAGGCCTATAATTCCAGCGCTTTGAGAGGCGGAGACAGGAGGATTGCAAGTTCGAGGCTAGACTGGCAATTTAGCAGTTACTGAAACCTTATCCCAAAATAAAACTGTGCTGGGGGCATAGCTTAATATGAAGGCCCTGAGTTCAATCCCCAGTACAAAAAAAAAGAAAGAATTGAAAGAATTCATAGATTGTCCCTGTTTGGTACCTAGGATCGAACTCAGCACCTTGCGCTTGCAAAGCAGGCGGCAGAACCATTGAGCCAAATCCCTTGCCTTCATCTATTAATTATTTTCCATGGTGACGACGAGGGCTCGCATCCGAAAGCTGAGACAACCCTCCGGAGTCTTCTCAAGTCCTGTGTGGAAGGACTGAGGACTGTGAGGAGCCGCTCCGTGCAGAGGGAACTAACAAGCAGGGCTGGGTTGTGACTCTGCACCCACAGGAGCCGCCCGAGGACAGTTTCCCAGGAAGCTGGTGACCAGAGGCGGATTGGGTGGTGCCTTCATTTTGGCTTTTGTTGGCTCTCTTAACCACTTAGAGGTTTCAGTGGAAAAAGTCACATCTTAAATGCCAGGCGGACCAGAGGGAAAATAGCAAAGGGTGAAGAAGCCTGATGCCTGCCTCCTCTTCCTGCTCCTTGTCACTGCTGGAGGGAGGAGGGGAAGGAAGCCCTGCCGGTCTTCTCCCTCGGCCCGCCTATGCCCTGTGGCTCGGGCCCTGTCCTTCCCATGGTGCCATCTGCTCAGGTGGGCCCTTGACCCCACGGTGTTGAACGTGAGCCATGCGGGCACGCACCCTTGCACAGGCTGCGTCTGTCTTCCCTTGTAGCATTTACACATTACATTCACCTTGGATCGTCTCCACCTTTAGGGTGTAGCTGCCAGCTCAGCACCTACCAAAGGGCCAGGAACACAGGAGACCCGCGCATGTTTGCTGAATGAATTTATAGTCTTTCATTCTGCACAGTTCTGACTTTGTCTTGGATTGAAAAAAATAAATTTCAAAGTCTGGTTTTTTTTCTTTTCTTTTTATTCCCCCTGATACTGGGGATCGAACTCGGGACCTTGTGCTTGCCAGGAAGGTGTTGTGACACTGAGCTACATCCCTGGCCAAAGTCTACATTTTTAAAAGTTGGTAAAGAAGCTAGGTATGGTGGCACACACTTATAATCCAAGCACTTTAGGAGGCTGAGGCAGGAGGATTGCAAATTCAAATTTAGCCTGGGAGGGAGACAGGCAGGGAGGAAAGAAAGGAGGGAGGGTGGGAAGGAAGGAAATGAAAGGATAGGATTGACATAGCTCAGTGTGAAGGCCCTGAGTTCTGTTCCTAGCATTGGGAGGAAAAAAGTTAATAATGGGTGGTTGATTATTTTCATTATAGAAAAAAGTCACAATGGAGGCCTTCAAGAAGCACATTTTCTTAATGTATTTCAAATGGAATTGAGTTCGGACCGATCTGATACTTCACAAATCCCCAGGGTGACATTTGTGGTATCTGCAGAAGGGTTCAGCTACGTTTCTGTTGTATGAAGTAACTGCGGGGGTCAACTGGACAACTGGTGTGGTTATTGGAAAAGGGTCACACAGTGTAGGTGCTCGTAGGACTCAATTTGACATTTCCAAGATTTGACAATGTCACAGTTGTAAAAGGGTCATGAATTTCAAAACAATTTTTTGAGGAATCAAAGTGCGAAACTTTTAATTTTTGCTTTTTGGGAGACGGGGCCTCACTGTATTGCCGAGGCTGGCTTCAAAGCCCTGGGCTCAAGTGATCCTCCTGCCTCAGCCTCCCAAGTAGCTGGAACTACAGGTGTATACCACCGTGCTCCACCTATTTTAAATACTGAAGAATTTTATTGATGGTATAAATTTGTGCGTATGTACTGCGCACCACTTTCTCCTTTGGTTTCAGTTCATAATTTCACTTTGAATCTCAGGACCCTCGAGGTAAGTCTTGACCGTGGACCTCTGAATGGCATAGATAGGGATGGGGCCACTTTTCCTGTGTGCGGTGATTTTCCTTTGGTGCATTTGAAGCACTTTGCTAGATCCTGGGGTGCGTGCTGCATTTCTTACTGTGTTCAGGTTTCATTTCATTTTTCCCTACTCCTGGAGATCTACTGGCCGGTCCGGTGCTTGGGTGATGATCCCCAAGATCCACCCACTCCCTGCTTTGCAGTCCGTGCTGTTTTTGGAGTGCCTCTCACTGAGTAGCCCAACACAGGGCAGGCAGACTCGTATGTATGTATGTGTATGTATGTATGTGTGTGTGTGTGTGTGTGTGTGTGTGTGTGTGTGTGTGTGTGTGTATATATAGATATATATATATATCTATATATATATCTATATATATATTGCTGGTCCCTCCTCAGCTTTTAGAGAGGAAATAATAGTCCCGGTGAGCAGGGATTGGCCTGGAATCTCATTGTGGAGCACAGGTCCACATCCTCGAGGAGCCCTGAGTCCACCAGATGTGTGAGCCCCGGGGGCCTGTGGGACGGACTCCTCACGGCTGCTGAGGACCTGAGTGTAGCACACATAGGAGGCTTCATTTCCAAAACGGAGACTTGCAAGGAATATGGGGCTTACTTTCAATGAAATGGATACCTCCTGATTTTCATTTTTTAAATTTATTTTGGTACCGGGAATCAAACTCGGGTCCTTGCGCTTGTGAAGCAGGTGGCCAAACCACTGAGCTTAAATCCCCGGTCCAAGAATTTTCATTGTAAACATGCAAATGATCTGTTTTTATCGTCCCCCGTGAGCACTGCTCCATGGAGAAGGACTCTCAGTGCCTGTGAGTGTAGCCTGCGTTCTCAGGGTTCTGCCTCGGGATGCATCATGAGAAGAGTAGGAAGGGGTCGCAAAGAGCTAGAAACTATTTTTCTCTGTTGTTGCACTACTCACTTTTCACTGTCGGGTCAGTTAGCAGGTACCTGCCACGAATGAGTAAAATATACCAAAGTATAAATTCCTGTAAGACATGAGAACGAATCTTCCCGTGTTTTAGGGTTCCCATGCTGAGCTGCCCATCTTCTCCATGACTCCAGTGAGGTGGCTTGTAGGTAGTTTAGTAACTTTGGAAGGCTGAGGCAGGAGGATCATCGGAAGTTCAAACCTCAGTGTAGCCCCGGCTGACCTCGAACTTGAGGCAGTCCTTGCTTTCCGAGTGCTGGGATTAGAAGCGTGCACCACCGTGCCTGGTCAAGGGAGACACTGTTTTCTTTGGTTTTTTTGATACAGGGTCTCACTATGTAGTTGAGGCTGACTTGGAACTCACTATGTAGCCCAGGCTGGTCTTGAACTCACAGCAATCCTCCTGACTCAGCCTCCCGAGTGCTGGGATTACAGGCATGCACCACCAGGCCCAGCTGGAAGATACTGTTTTAACAGTAGCAACAACAAAATAAAACTTGATATTGCCTTCTCCTTCAGTGAAATATTTTAGTATCATGGTTTAATTCTAAGATCAATCTTTATGCATATTTCCCCAAATTCTCAGGTCAACTATGTATATATTTTTCCAAATTAGTCACACATACTTGTCTAGCTAATATGTTACTGCTCTCAATTCCTCTTAGTCCTTTTAGATTCTAGCTTCACTTGTCTGTCCTTGGTTGAGGTAGGGATATATCTCTCAAGTTCCTAATATTCTTCTTGTCCTTTATCCTTTTCTCCAGGTAGCATTAGTTACTTCCTTTTCATTTCACAGTTCCCTGATTGCATAGGAATCATTGCCCAATTCCTGTGCCTCCATTCATCTCTTTGTATATATATATTCTTGGTACCAGGGATCGAACTCAGGACCTTGTATTTACAAGGCAGGCACAGTGTCACTGAGCTAAATCCCCAGCCCTGTTTGTACTATTTATTCACATCATATCATCGTGTGAGCTATAAATCCCGTTTGGTACATGACACCTGTCATAGTTGGCCTTAACTTTAATTTCCACAAGCCAAACCTTAGTGATTATATTTGGCTTTTGTCTCAGAGAACAGTTACTGCAGATAATGCTGCCTCTTCCCATGGGCCCCTGCTGACCCTTGATGGAACACTGTCAGGTTATTTCCTTGATGCTGGCTGCAGATGCAGCGGAGGGCCTAGGTTTAGGTAGCAAGTGAGCATAGCAGGTGCAGAGTTTTTGTTTATGCTCCTTTTAGAACTTACTTGCCTTTGCACTGGAAGGTCTGGAAATTTTTTTGTTACTGCAAATATGTTTGCGCCTAGTTCTTAACTGTGCACTTTCCCTAAGCCCCAGACCTGTTGCCAGACATTTTTGCAGATCTGTGCTGTAAGTTACGAGTACGGGAGAGATCTTCCCAGCCTCTTGGAACTTCCGTCCTAAAGAGCTGAGCTGTGACCATCGCAGTCTGGCTTCCCCCTCCCTGGCTGCCCGAGTATTGCGGTCAGTTTGAGTACTTGGGATGTCCCTTCAAATGCTTAGCTCTCCATAGCAGTGTTTGGTCCTTCTGGTTTTGTAAGTTGCCACTCCCAGTGAGATAAGGTCCCCTCCTTGGGTCTTTGGGCTGGGAGCAGGAGACAGGCTGTTGCCTCCCAGGGGGTTGCATGAGTGTTTGTGCTTTGTCCTGTGTGCAGGGATCCTAACCTGCTTTCTGCTGCAGAAACACAAGCTGTAGAAAAGAAATAATCAATAAGGGTGGAAAAAAAAAAAAAGGAAGGGAGGGGTGAACATCAACATTTCTTTTTTCTCTCCTCCAAAGTTTGGGAGCCTCGGGAGGTGGAGCAAGTAGCTGGGATTCCTACAGCGACCATTTCACCATTGAAACCTGCAAGGAGACAGACATGTTGAACTACCTCATTGAGTGTTTTGACCGAGTTGGAATAGAGGAAAAAAAAGCACCAAAGGTAACAGGAAAGAGAGCCTACTTGTATGAGGACCCCCCACCCCAGGAGGGTTCATTCATTCATTCAGCCCGGAGAGGTGTGGTGGAGCATCCGGTGTGCCGGGCACTAGAGATGTGGCCCTGAGCACCGCCCTCAGAGAAATGCATCCTGGCCAGGGAAGGACACGGCCAGCTGGCTCTGAGCCCTCTCTGCTGCCCACCCTACTAGCTGCTGGTGAAACGTGCCGGAGTGGTCATAGTAGTGCCCAGTAACTGAGGCGACTTGAGCTTCCGTCCCTGCAGGGTCTCAGCGAGTTCCCTGGAGCCCTGTCCTAGAGGCGGCGGCGTCGTTCTCTCCCTGCTTCATGCAGCAGAGGAGCCACGGCCGGCTCTCCTGCACTCAGGGAGCTGCACCTCTCTGGTATTTTGAGCCGTCCCCCTTACTTTTCTCTCCATTCTAGTTCTGGTTTTCACTGGAAACAAATCTGGGGGTCCACCTGTCCCCCTCACAGCTGTGCAGGGCCTCTGGGGAGCTCTGCACTTGATCTCAGCCAGAGCAAACAGCGTGGACCCAGCTCCCAGCCCCTCTTCGTTCTGACTGCAGACGTAGTTTGCTCTCCTGCTGAGGAAAGAAGATGGTGCCGGCTTCTAGCTGTCACTCTCCTCAGCCTGGTCAGCTGTGGGAAGGCCGGGCTTACTTTGTCCCTTCTCCCCATGGCCGCCTTTGTCTTTCAGATGTGCAGCCAGCCATCAGTGAGCCAGCTTCTGAGCAACATCCGCTCGCAGTGCATCTCCCACACGGCACTCGTGCTGCAGGGCTCGCTGACGCAGCCCAGGTAGGAAGGGCGCTTGTGTCCCATGTGCTTGGTGTCCCCAGGGAGAGGACCATGCCGCGAGCCAGGCAGCTCCTTTCTTCCTCTGGAAAGTGGAAGGCTTCCATCAAGGATCTGAGATCCTCTCCTTCTCCAAAACACTCATCTTCCAAAGGCGTACAAAGCATGTTTTAAAAAGAACTTTGTTATACCTGAAACTTTGGTGTGCTTTTTGAAGTAGGTCATACGCAGAAAATTAGTAATTTAGCCTAAAACCAACTGTTTGACATTGGTGAAGGGATTTGATAAAAATGCTAGACCCTCCCTTTCCACTCCCTGTTTCTGTTACTTAGTAATAAAGAACGAGGTGGAAAGGATACTTTGGGAAAGGGGCCTAAGTGCTACATTGTTTCTGACAGTTCCTAAAGATTTCAACACTAATGAAACATTGTATATTTATTTTCTTTTATGCAAAAAAAAAAAAATCTGAAGGAGGGCTGGGGATCTAGTTTAGTGGTTCCTGCTACCAAGCAGAAGGATCCAAGTTCAATCCCTGGTCCCCCCCAAAAAAAAAAAATCTGAAGGAGAAATGACAAAGTTACATTTATTTTTTCTAGGTGGTTTTGCTTTCTGTATCATAACCATATATTTTTGAAACGTTTCAAAAGGAAAGAAAATTAGATACATGTACCAAAACTTAAAATGTTCCCTGGTTAAAAAGTAAGTTTTTCAAAAACTAGTGCTTTTTTCTTTTTTCTTTTTTTCAGTTTGGATGAGGCATAAATGAGTAAAAGAGCCAGATGTGGTGGTGCACGCCTGTATTCCCAGCACTCAGGAGGCTGAGGCAGGACGATCACTGGCAGTTTGAGGCCAATCTGGGCAGCATAGTGAGTTCAAGACCAGCCTGGACTATATAGTGAGACCCTATGTAAAAACAAAATAAAATAACAAATAAAAGAAACATTTAATGTTTTATTGTTTCGTACTTAGTTTTTCTTTATTATTATTTTTTTCTTTGTGATCCTTGGCATTGAATCCAGGGACTTTACACTGAGCTATATCCTCAACCTTTTTTAATTTTGAGGTGGGGCTCTCACTAAGTTGCTCAGGCTAGATAAAGCTTGCAATCCTCCTGCCTCAGCCTGCCAAGTGCCGGGATTAAAGGCATGTACCGCCATGCTCACCCTTAGTAGTTCATTTGTAAAAGGCTATATAGAGATGGAATCTTTGAAATTTGCTATAGTAACTCTTTTTAAAGTCCAAGAAATTTTCACCAAATGATGAGAAAGATTATCTTTTGCCTAAAACTGTTGTGAAGAATATCTAGAGATTTCAGGTTTGTCTTGCCTGGTGTTGCCATGATGTTTCTCATGCCCATGTGTTGTGCATGGCGGTGACTTCATGGCGGTCCTGGCTCTCTGTGGTCCGCAGGTCCCTGCAGCAGCCGTCCTTCCTCGTGCCATACATGCTGTGCAGGAATCTCCCTTACGGCTTCATCCAGGAGCTGGTGAGGACGACTCACCAGGACGAGGACGTCTTCAGACAGGTAGAGCCTCATTGCTGCGGCCTCTGTGGAAAACTCCTGTTCCCACATGTGAACTGCACATGCAATGTGCTTAGCCAGAAGACAGACTGCGCTGTTCTGTGGAGGAACTTGGACTGACAGCAGCACTGTTCAGTGCGTGTGTCCCTTTCAACCATTGGTCAAGTGTTGTCTTTTTTGTTTGTTTGTTTTTTAAGACGGGGTCTCACTATGTAGTTGAGACTGACCTGGAACTCACTGTGTAGCCCAGGTTGGTCTCAGACTCACAGCGATCCTCCTTCCTCAGTCACCCAAGTGCTGGGATTACAGGCGTGCACCGCCATGCCCGCTAGTGTTGAGTCTTTTAAACAGTCTGTATTGGGTGTTTGGTAGGCTTGTTCATTGGTTTTGTTCATTTGTTGTTTGTGACAGTTTATATGTACACCTAATTCAGACTGTCCTTGAACTTGCAGTGAGCCTCCTGCCTTGGCCTCCCAAGTGCTGAGATTAGACGCGTACCACCACATCCGGTGCTGTGCTAAATGCTTTGGGAAGAAGAAAAAATATAAAACCAAGCTCCCAATTTGAAGGAGCTTTTAATGTAAAAATAGCAAGAGAGCATATAAGACAGGATGTACGTATATTACCACATTAGTAGTGCTAAAAATCAGTTCTCTGAGTTTGTGGGACTCATAAATTAATGACCAGATTGGATCAGTGACAGTCTGCATGTCATACAGGATCCCTGTGTTCTAACCACCATACCAAGAAAGCCATCCTGTATCTTATTATTTACCTCATCCTTTAATTATGTGCCCCCTGTTCTGGTATCTCCTTCAACAAAGTCGGAGGGAAATGCAGCTTGCCATTGCACACTAATACAGCTGTTCGGTCTTGGGACTTTCCTGCAAAGCAAACCTTAGGCAGCGCCTCTAATTGCATTCTGATATCCCTGTGTTTAAGATAAGCATTTTGCTTCATTAGTGTTCACACAGGACCTTTCCCTTTTTGAAAGAGTTTTCGTAAACTTTAGGTAAAATTTGCTCTTTTGTTTGTTTGGTACCGGGGATCAAACTCAGGACCTTGCACTTGTAAGGCAGGCAGCAGAACCACTGAGCTAAATCCCCAGCCCTATTTCTTCTTTTGTGACCAGAAAGAGCACCAGAGTCATTTGCTATAATTGGCAATGGTACCTTTTGCTCTGCTTTATGTTGAGTACTTTTTTTTTTTTTTTTTTTTTGGTACTGGGGATCGAACTCCAGTCCTTGCGCTTGCGAGGCAGGCGGCGGAACCACTGAGCCAAATCCCCAGCCCTGTTGAGTACTTTTAAGGCCTTCGAATTTTCAGTTTTTCGAGCTGTGTTCAAAGTGTTTGTAAGAGAAGAACTCAGGACTCAGGAACAGAAATTCCAGTAAATGTGTAGTGCTATGTCTGGACTTCATTAACTGCTTATCTTCATTGATGGCCTTTTGGGCTGACAGGAACATGACAGTGAGCTTTGCTTCTTCACAAAGAGAAGTGAACTCCACGAAGAGCAAGTAGCTGACCTTGGAGGTTTAAGTAGAGCACCCTTATAGGTGGAGTGTGCATTAACCAGAATTTTTGTCCTATTCAAAAAGCTGTCATTGCCAGGGATGTACCTCAGTGGTTCTGCCACCTGCCTCTCAAGCACAGGGTCCTGAGTTCGATCCCTAGTACCACACAAAACAAAAAGGCATCACTGGTGGAACCTAGCATAGTTTCAACTATATAGTCAGGGTATCAGCGGAAATAGTCTATTATGCCTATTTTATTCATAAACATATGCAAAGTTTATGAAATCAGCTCTTTGCTTCTTATAATTGATATGTAATTCACTAGCATCAAATTACACCCCAAAAGAGGCCCTTTTTGTGGTGCTGGGAATGGAACCCATGGCCTGCAGCATATGAGGGAAATATTCTGCCACTGAGCCATACTCCTATCCTAAATTCTCCATTTTAAGGTATACAATTCATTGGGCTGGGAGTGGTGGTGTAGGTCTGTAATCCCAGCACTCAGGAGGCTGAGGCAGGAGGATCACCATGAGTTTGAGGCCAGCCTGAACTACATAGTGAAACCTTTCTCACAAAAATAAAGTATACAATTCATTGACATTTAATTCATTCAACAGTGTTGTACAACCACCATAGACCTGATTATTTTTAGTCACAGAAATTTTTTTTTTTTTTGAGACAAAGTCTTCCTTTGTAGTTCAGGCTGGTCTTGAACTCACTGTGTAGCCCAGGCTGGCCTCAAACTCACAGCAATCCTCCTTCTTCATCCTCCCAGATGCTGGGACTACAGGTGTGTGCCACCATGCCTGGCCTAATCATAAAATTCTTAGGGCTTTCCAGACAATTAGTTTGTGTATGTGTGATATTAAACTGGGACAACAGGATTTGCTTCATGCATACTAGGCAAGCTCTCTACACTGAGATACTTCCTTGGCTCTTTATTTTTTTAAATTATGAGATAGGATCTTGCTGAGTTGTCCAGGCTGGCCTCGAACTTGCAACCCTCCCGGCCTCTGCCTCTAGAGTATCTGGGCTCACAGGCATATACTACTGTCCTGGCCTAGCCACTCCCTTAGCCTTTGTTATCTTTTCCATTATCATCAGTTTTGTGTAGAGAGAAACAGGAAAATGTAGTTGCTGAAGTGTTTACCTTTCTGTCTCATCAGTGTGGTAAATGTGCAAAGAATTTAGGATTGGGAGTGAATAGTGGTAGCACTTTTTCTTTTATCAGTGCTGAGAGGCATTTGTTTGAAAATAAAAATTATTATTTAGAGTATAGAGATCATATAAATAGCATAATAATACTTGGGTGAAAATACTGTGCCTCATAGTATTATGTCTACTTACTATAGATTAAGCCCTTACTTGGACAAGAGGATAGCTCCACTAGAAACAGTACAAAGGTTTTATTTTTATCATTCCTGAAAGAATAAAAGATTTATCTAGAGGACCAGTTGTGAAATTTATTTTCAAGGTTCTGGAACCTTCTGTTTGCCTTTTCTTCATGACAATAACTCTGGTGCTCCCCACACCAGTGCCTGAGTTACCGCTCCGTTTTTAGCTCATTGATGAAAGTGCATTACTTCTTCCCTGGAGGGTTGAGTTGTGGAAACTGGAATGATGTCTTCCAGAGCAGTGTTGATATCTCAAGACAACCCTCCCCAGCACTCACATGTAGGGCAGGAGGGCAGGTGGCAGGATTTTGGTCCTCTCTAGTCTTTAAACAGTGAAGGTTCTCAGTAGGATGGGGTGAATTAGGAGAGGGAATTTCCCGGCCTGTTGGCAGTCAGCATGTCAGCTGCTGTTTACTACATTTTCTAGTTCGTGGGAGTAGCCTTGAGTCCAAACCAGCCCCTAATCATATGCTCAGAAAGTGTGTTATAAAATTTGAAAGTGAGCTGTGCATTGCATTAGCCAGGATTAGCAGTAAAATATTGAAGTACATTCGAACGCCCTTAGCTGCAGCAGTAGCATCAGGCGATTGTAGCAGTTGCACCGTGGAGGGTGCATCATTTGGACATTATTGGCTCTCTTCACTCTCAAGGTTAGTAATGTCCACAGTTCATCAGTTGTTCTTGTTTTCCTCCAAATCATAAATACTGTCAGAGCTGAGAAAATACCGAGCATTTAGCCCCACTCCCTTGTGGGTGACAGACGCTTGGTACTGGCGAACACAGCCGCGAGGGCAGAATGTGGTTGATCAGAGCGGGGACCCCATGGTGTCTCTCGGGGCTCCCAGTTCGTGGGCTTCTGTCACCTCCACAGTAGCAGGGCCCCCAAGTCCTCACCGCATCACCCTGGGGTTGGCCTCCCCAGCAGACAGGAGCTGCTCTCGATGGATCTGTTCCTGGGGAAAGTGTGGAACTGCCTGCACCCTGAGCTCCAGTTCCTTGCCTGACATGCTGCTCACGCTTTGTTTTCCATGAACTTATATTTGTCATTTTGATTTTTCTCTTCCAGATCTTTATCCCCATTTTGCAAGGCCTGGCTCTTGCTGCCAAAGAATGCTCCCTCGATAGCGACTACTTTAAATACCCCCTCATGGTAAAACGTTTTTCTTTACCATAGTCAATACATGTTTTCTTTGAAAATTGTTTTAACGTTTTTCTTTCAGGTCTCTGATGAACCTTAATTTCCGATTGAAATCGCGGACCGTGGTGCTGCCCGTGCAGGGTGCTCGGCTGGTGTCCGGGTGACACGGTCAGCAAGCAGCCTGGTCTCTTCCACGCTTCGGGGCCCTGGGCAACCAGCACTGCGCTGTTGCAGTGTACTTTGCCCTACTGTGTGGCTAACAGGAAGGTTAATTATTGGCACCCTTCGTGTTCTCCAAACAATGAGCATGCCATATTTGGGATCAAATTGTGTTTTTAAAAAAATTAGTGATGCAAATAACAGGGCAATATACTAAGGAAAGTTACACAGTGTATCTTTACTAATTAACTTCGCATAGCAAATCTCAGAGTAACGCTTGTTCTCTACGCGGTTGGTACCTGGGTTTTGCTTGGGAAGTAGATGAGGGTAGCTCCTTCCAGCTCGCAGAGCAAGCGTAATTGATGAGCAGAACCTCTGGCTGCTGGGAAACACTGGACCTGAGATGAAACTGAGGGCCTCTTGTCTAATCTGATTTTGCTTCTTTGAAATTGTGGGTGAAAATGTTTAAGAATAGTGCTGAATATTTTTCATTCTAGAACGAGGAAGGAAAAAGTGTCAAAACATACAGCTGGTTTACCTGAAGTTTATATACAACCTGGTAAATTAAAAAGTTTTTTATTAGTGCATATTTGTCATACATATTGATCACATTCATCATAGGGAATTTGTACCTGTGCATAATATATCTTAATTATTTTTTCCCATTCCGCTCTCCTCCCTTTAATCCTTCCTGTTTCCATTTCTTTCTTCTAGTTTCTCTTTTTTTTCTTTTCCTTTCCTTCCTTGCCTTCTCCCCTCTCCCTTGTTTGCCTTCTCATTTGAACAGTGTTCTTCCTACTTTTCAATATCTATCCTCCCTTAAATTCCCTCTTTACCCTTTGGCTTTCTCCATAAGAGAAACAATGTGATATTTAAACTTCTGTGTCTGATTTATTTCATTTAAGATTATCATCTCAAGGTGCATCCATTTTCCTACAGATGATTCTGGTTTATCTTTTGTATGGCAGAGTAGTACTCCATTGCATGTAAATACCACATTTTCTTTTTTCTTTTTTTTTGGTAACAGGGTCCTTGTGCTTGCAAGGCAGGCAGCAGAACCACTGAGCTAGATTCCCAGCCCATAAATGCCACATTTTCTTTATCCATTCATCTTTTTATGATCATATGAGCTGTTTCCAAGGTTTAGCTATTATAAATTATGTTGCTATAAACATGGCTAGACATATATCGCTGTAGTATGTTCCTTTTAACTCTTTCTGGAAGGTACCCAAAGAGGGAATAGAATAGCTGGGTCAAATAGAACCTCTAGTTTTAGTTTTTTTCGAAATCTCCATACTGATTTCCACAGTGTTTGTACCAATTTTCGCCCCACCAGCAATGGAGAAGGGTTCTTTGTTCCCCACAGCCTCACCAGCATTTGTGATTGGTTGATTCCTGATGGCAGACATTCCTTCTGGGGTGAGATGGAGTCTCACTGGTGTTTCAGTTTGCATCTCTCAAATGATTGGTGATACAGCTTGGTAAATTGAGGCTGTGGTTGAATTGACTTTATTTTACTATATTTATTCCTTTTGCTTATTTTACTGACTTGATTGAATTCCACCATGAGCTCAGTGCCCATCGAGGATGTCCTGTGCCTGGCACTGGGACATGAGCTCATAAGACCAGGTCTTTTTTTTTTTTTTTTTTTTTTTTTTCCTCATACCAGGGATCGAACTCAGGTCCTTGTGCTTATGAGGCAGGGGGCGCAACCACTGAGCTAAATCCCTGGCCAAGACCAGGTCTTACGCAAAATGAAAACACGGCACAGCAGCTGGGTAATCACACTGTGACAAATGCCGACACAGCAGTGGACACAAAGGGGACATTTGTCTACTATTTATTTATTTTCGTGAAATTAGGTCTCTGTGTAGTTCAGGCTGGCCTTGAACTCATGGAGTAGCCTAGGCTGACCTCCAACTTGCAAAATCTCCTGCCCCAGCCTCCTGATGGGATAACAAGCATGCACCACCACACCTGGTGATATCTGTCTGTTTTTTTAAAAATCAGTACTAACAGCACTAACAGGCTGAAAGGTAACGATACAACTGGGAAATTAGAGGATGAAGCAAGAATTCTTCTAAAATACTTTTGAATGGATTTATGCTAGGGCGCTTTGCATTGCACATGTTATTCAGGTTCCTAATAAAAATGTTAATCCTGGTTGGGGATGTAGCTCAGGGGCACCGCGCCTGCCTGGCAAGTGCAAGGTCCTGAGTTCGATCCCCGGTACAAAAAAGAAATGTTAGTCCTTATGTATTGTTCTGTTTGTGGCAGACAGAACAGGAAGCAACATAATCTGATTATGGGGAGTTCAGTCAGGAAATGGTAGTTATCACTGTATTTTGTAAATATCTCTTCTGGAGTTACTGGCTTCTGGGACATGGTTTGAATTAGCTTCATGTTTCAGCAGGGCACTTTCATTGTCAGATGTTAACCGAATGTCCTTGGTCAAGAGACAAAGCCCACATTGCAGTAGGCAGCGATTTTAGTTGGGACCTTTATGGATTCTTATCTAACACTGAGGTTGTGGGCCCAACAAGAGAGGCAGGCAGAGGAAGAGAGCAGGTGCCGAGTTCAGAGGTAGTGAGGCTTGTTGACCCCCGCTGTGTCGTGGGCTTTGGGGTCACCTGGGGAGATCTTTCCTATTGCTGGGGCCCAGCTCTGGCTTCAGGCACTGTGACTTAAGTAGGAGCCAGTGAGGCCCGGGACTGGGATTTTAAGACAACAGCAAAGCCTGTGAGGACTTGGGCTTGTCCACAGCTCCCTGAGCCTTACAGGCCCTCAGAACAGCCTTAGTGCCTAAATGCACCAACCCGAAAACTTCCCCTGGGTTTATAGCAACTTCTGTAATAGCTGTGTCCAAATCACAGAGAAAATTCAGTTTGTGTTCAGCATTGTTGAATCGCCAGGGTGACATAAAACTGTCTCCATCCCTAAAAAATGTTTGTCATAATTCTCTAAGTTAGGGAATGATTGATGTGCTGAAGGAAAGTGTTGGATTTCTTATCAATACCAAGTCATGCTTTTAACTGTGTTCTGAATTTGGTAGCTTATGAAATGCAGAGTGATGGGTAGCACTGCCAAGAGTAGCTGCTGAAAGTTAACGAAACAAGCATTTTGACATAGAAAGATGTGAAATGAAAATTTGCCTTTTGTACAAACATAGACCTTTAAACCTAGACAGATGCACAAAAATATGTCTGGAAAACTGTCAATCAGTTTCAGTATGATTTTATTTTATTTTATTAATTTATTTTTATTTTTTTGGTACTGGGGATCGAACTCGGGTCCTTGGGCTTGCGAGTCAGGCTCTGGAACCACTGAGCTAAATCCCCAGCCAGTAGGGGTTATTTTTAAGGGTAAAGTATGAGCGAGTTTTACAATGAATGTGTATGTTGTTTATTAAGTAGAAAAAAAATCACAAAGCTGTAACCATCGTTGCGAGCACACACCAGTTTTCATAGCAGCACTGAAAGCCTCCTTTGCACCAGTTTGAGTTGTGATGGCTGTGAGTGATTCTTTCTGATCTCGTTTCCAGGCGTTAGGTGAACTCTGTGAAACCAAGTTTGGGAAGACACATCCCATGTGCAATCTGGTGAGTGCCCACCTTGCACATGCCCGCGTATGTGGTCAGGATGCCGTCCCCTAAGTAACGCCAGCTAAAGACCTCTAGGAAGGAAATCAGCACAGAGCTGGGGTGTGTGGTGAAATCACTGTTATATATGGTGTTTCCTGCAACAAACTTACTTGCTTTCTTCTGATTGTTTGGAGGGGGTCAGTATTGTACAACTAGAATACCAAAGCCTAGTTTATACCAGAGTCCTCTGGATATTATGAGAGTGGGTCATTCCAATGCCACCAAAAAGTATCTTGTGAAATGGTAGGAGTGGGAGGGCTCTTCCCTGTCTGAGGTGAGAGAGACCACCAGGGACCCTGACAAGGTCGCCCCTGTGCTGAGGGGCGGCAGTGCCGGCGGGGCGGCGCTGATGTCGAGGAGGCAGCTGCCGGAGCTCAGTCCATGTCCCCCACAGGTTGCCTCTCTGCCCTTGTGGCTGCCGAAACCCTTAAGCCCCGGCTCCGGGCGGGAGCTGCAGAGACTCTCTTACTTGGGAGCCTTCTTCAGCTTCTCCGTCTTTGCCGAAGACGATGTAAGTACAGTGGCCATCCACCCTCAGTCCTTTTTCTCAGGTGTGCATTGCGTGCTGACTGAACATGTTCCTCCTCCTTCCAGATTAAAGTAGTTGAAAAGTACTTCTCGGGGCCTGCCATTACCCTGGAGAACACTCGCGTGGTCAGCCAGTCCCTGCAGCACTACTTGGAGCTGGGAAGGGTAGGTGCTGAGGGAAGAGGAGCTGTACTTAGGCAGCTCCTTCCATTCTGTGGGCAGGAGGCTGCCTGGTTCACAAATACTGTTAAAAGTGAGTTTGATCCCAGTACTTGGGAGGCTGAGGCAGGAGGATCACGGTGCATTTGAAGCCAGCCTGAACTACACGGTGAGGCCATGTCTCAAAACAACCACAGAAAACAATAAAAACAATAAAAAATTTTAAGTCAGTTGAGCTTTAAAGAAAGAAAACTTCCTATATATAAGGAACAGGTGTCTTTTTAAATTTTTTGTTTTGTAATACAGAGATCCCTAGTCCACCACTGTATCACCCCAGCTTCCCAAGCCTTGAGTAATAACTGCAGCTAACCCATACTACCTCCAGTGTAGCAGCCCTAGGCCAGGGCCCTGCCCTTAGGGCCTTGATCTCTCTGTACCTGGAGCAGCCAAGCAGCCTGTTAATTGTGCTGGGGTCGAAAGCTGTGAATTTGCACACACACACTCCCTCACCGACCCACTTATCCCTGAGGTAGATTAACGTGTCTTCAGTTGTGAACGCAGAAGCATATCACAGGCTTGGGTAACGGTATTTTGATCATGGGATGGAAGTAATTAAGGCCACTGTATTTACTAAACCTGTAGCTCTGTCCTCCACTCTGCTGCTGGGCATCTTGACACCGAGCGTGCATGCAGATCCTCCTTCCCCCGTGCTGGCAGCCTCTCCGGGAGGGACTGGAAATAGGAGAGGGGCGGGAGTGGGGGACAGGCCAGCTGTTCTGGAGTCGAGGAATAAAAGGAAAGCATTCAAAATGAGGTTACTTTTTCTCTTCCTTTAAAAATAACTGCAGCAAGAGCTCTTCAAGATTCTGCATAGTATTTTGTTAAACGGTGAGACCCGGGAGGCGGCCCTCAGTTACATGGCAGCTGTCGTCAATGCCAACATGAAGAAGGCGCAGATGCAGGTAGGTTTCCCAGGCCCCGCTTTTGTCACCTGCTCCCCCAGGTGTTTCCCTGGGATGTGGGAACACGGTATTGACCGAGACCAGCATCCTCAGGGTCAGAGAGTCGGTGCCTAAGTGAAATCCATAAAAAAATGAAGCCAAGAGAAGGACATGTGAGTGAGTAACTGTACCGTGCCAGAGGGGAGGTGCGGGGTGAGTTTTGATTGGGTGCAGGAGCGTCTCTCTGAGGTGACACTTGGTCAGAGGAGAGAACCTTCTGGGTGCGTGCAGGGCCCAAGGTGGAAGTAAGTGGCTTTTGCGTAAGCCCGACACACAAGACTGGGCGCAAGCTGTGGGGCACACCTGTAATCCCAGCCCTCAGAATATTGGGGCAGGAGGATTACCACAAATTCAAGATTGACCTGGGCTCCATTGTGAGTTCAAGACCAGCTTGAGCCACATAGTGAGACCCTGTCTCACGGCAAATAAACAAAAAAGAGCACCCTTCCCATGACACTCAGAAGCAAAACAGAATGTATGGAGAAATGCGTGGGGTGACTTCTGGTGGTGGTTCCTTCCACCTGTTACTAAAAGTGGGACCGCAGAGAGTTGCAGAGGCATGCCTCAGTTTCCCCATCTGCTAACTGAGGATAACAGTGACACCTAACCTGTGGCTTTACTGTAAGTGAAGCTGCTGGGTTGGTGTCAAGTGCTTCCCTCAGCAGGTGCTGTCATTCTTATAATCATTGGCTCCTTAATGCAAGGCTGAAGGTGACACTGAGCTGTGTCACATGGTAACTGATAGGACTGGTCATTAGATTTTGTTTATTTTTGTTAGTGCTGGGAATCGAACTCAGGGCCTTGAACATCCTGGGCAAACACTTTTACCACCCCAGCTATAGCCCCAGCTCTGTTCTGATGTTTTGGCAGGGAAAGAAAGAAGAGCCCTCTCTTCTTGTGTTTCTGCTCCTTAATGTGGAAGCTTTAGGGCAAATCACTTCCGTTCTCTGAGCCTGCATTCCCTCCCTCCTGTGTAAAATGTGCACAGTATGTTACTGGCTCCCGGGCTGCCCCTGCAAGTTCATTGAGGGAGCGTATGAAACCTTCCGCAGTGGATGACTGCTCACTCTCAGTGCTGCTCCTAGAACGACAGTGGCGGCAGCCTATGTCTGCTCACTGACTTCAGCATATGGTCACGTTTGAATGGTCAGTCTGCCTTCGTATTAAGTTGTGTGACAATCCCTCCTCAGATCATTATTTTGAATCCTTTTTAATATTTCATAGACAGACGATCGATTGGTGTCTACAGATGGATTTATGCTGAATTTCCTCTGGGTACTGCAGCAGCTGAGTACAAAGATCAAGTTAGAAACAGTTGACCCCACGTATATATTCCACCCGCGCTGCCGGATTACACTGCCCAACGACGAGACGCGCGTGAACGCGACCATGGAGGACGTGAACGAGTGGCTGGCTGAGCTCTGTGAGTAATGCGGGTGCTGTTGCTATGGGCGCCACACGTGCCACGGGATGCCGTTGCCTTTCCTACAGATGTTGAACAGGTGGTTTGAAAATATGACTGTTTGGAACATGTATCTATTCGTTTTTCTTCTCAGAAATGTAAAACATCACTTAAGGACAAACAAATCCCTGTGGCGTTTGTTTCCCCGGTATTGTGAAGTTACTCACTGAATAGGGGGAATCCGCACTCGGCTCTGGCGGCCTCGTAACCAGGAGGGAACTGCTCACCATGGAGCAGCCAGGGAGCCGGAGGGTCAGCCTCAGCCTGGCACTTCTCTGAGTGTCACTGTGACCCTCGAGTCACATCTGTAGACTTAGAAATTCCCAGGGCCCAAGGGTTCAAGATATACTTAAAAAGAGAGAAAGAGGGCTGGGGATTTTTTAGCTCAGTGGTTCTGCCGCCTGCCTTGCAAGCACAAGGATCCAGGTTCGATCCCCAGTACCAAAAAAAGAGAGCGAGAAAGAAAATTGAATGGAGGATTTGGCCCAACTGTGAAGACAGAAGAAAGTTGTAACATAAGGAAAGAAACAGACCACTAGAGATAATTAATATACATGCCTTAAAATGTAAGCATGCCTTTTAGAGAGGAAAAAAAAAGGAATATAGAAAATAAAAGGGGAAAGGCATGCTGCACGATTGGTAAGGGCCCACTGTTCAGCACGTAGAACCATTAACAAATGTGGAAGGACCAGACGGTTCTAACGGCAGGCAGTTTTCTTATGCATGGGAAAAAAAAAATCAATACTAGATATTTTACAGGAAATAAAATATACTTGGGTGTAAAGGGGACTTACTACAGGAGTTGTACATATTGAAAGAAATTCAGGTTTACTATTACACATCTGTAAATTAGCCCAAAGTGGTGATAGCATGGCGAACCTAGGGCACGTGTGCCACAGTGGGCTGTTTGCATCACTGAAAGCTCTAAAAGGTTTGCTGTCACTAGCACAGGATGTAAGTCTGTGAAGAAATAGATGGTATTAAATCAGTTTATTTAATCTAAAGTGAATTCTGGGGATTCATAACAAAATTTATTGAAGAGAAAGGGAGGCTGCTTAAATAGGTTTTGCGGGGGAGGGTGTTTTTGTTTTGTCTTGCTCCTTGAGACAGTCTGACTGTGTAGTTTAGGCTGGCCTCAAACTCACAGAGAGGTTCCTGCTCCAGCCTCCTGAGTTCTGGGATTACAGTTATTCACCCCCAGGCTTGTGGCCTGGCTTTTGAGACAGGGTATCACCGTGCTCTCCCAGGCTGGCTTGGAACGCCTCACCTCAAGTGATTCTTTAGCTCATTGCCCTACCTAGCGGAGCCCTCGGGCACATGCCACCACGCCTGGAAGGACAGGAAGAGTACCTCCTCATGTTCTTTAGCCAGTTAGGGTGACTGTGGTCAACTTGCATTTCAGAATTGTAGAGAGGGCCAGGGATTTAGCTCAGTGGCACCATGCCTGCTCTTGAGTTTGATCCCTGGTACCAGAAAAAAATAAAAAAGATAGCTAGAGAGAAGATTTTGAGTGTGTTTGAGGCGATGAACAAACCAGTTACCCCAATCTAATCTAGTACATCATATGCCTGATTTGAAATAGATCACCACACCCTATAAATAATATGATTATTTTCTGTCAATTAAAAACAAAACAAAAAGGACCTGGGACTTAGCTCAGTGGTGCTGCTACCTGCTTTGCAATTGCAAGGTCCCAAGTTTGATTCCTGGTACCAAAAAAACCCCAAAAATATAATACTATTATTCTCAATAATTCCATTTTTCAAGGTATATTCCCAAAGCTGAGGGGAAAAAAACCCATTCATTAGTCTTTTTGGGGTGTTTTGTTTCTTTTTTGGTACCAGGGATCAAACTCAGGACCTTGCACTTGCGAGGGAGGCACTGTGCCACTAAGCTAAATCCCCAGCCCCTGTTTTTGATGTGTTTGTTTGGTTGGTTGGTTGGTTTTTTTTGAGACAGTCTCACTCTGTACTGGAGACTAACCTGGAACTCACTATGTAGTCCAGGCTCGAACTCACAGCTTCAGCCTCCCGAGTGCTGGGATTACAAGTGTGCGCCGCCACGTCCAGCCTTAGTCTATTACTTATAATAGAGAAATTAGAACAAATGTGCAGGGAAATGGCTGTGGAATCAATAGCTTATCACTACAATTCCATTTTGAGAGTTAAGTGATAATTGTGTATTGGAAAATGGGAGTGGTTCATACGGCGCGTCAGGACACACGTAGTCAAAGCTCATGGATGGACAGCTACATAAATATTTAATCAGAAGGGACAGGAGATGTGATAGCAGAGCTCACAGGGATTCGGTTGTTCCTATGTCACCAGCTAAGTCTGTCATTTTATATAGTACCCTGAACTCCTTCTCGGCGGGCTGCAAGTTTTATTTCTCACTCACTGCTGGGTGGCTCTGATTTGAAATCCATCGCCCAGTGTAAAATAGCAAACCACTGGGAGTTCGAGCTGGCCCGAGCTTAAACGTAATGGAGAACTGGAGTGTAGTTCCCCACGGAACTGAGCTTTTCCCCTGGTTGAGACTCACAGAAGAATTTATCCCGGTCATGTTCTCTCCCAGATGGAGATCAGCCTCCGTTCTCGGAGCCCAAGTTCCCCACTGAGTGCTTCTTCCTCACGCTGCACGCGCACCACCTCTCCATCCTGCCCAGCTGCCGCCGCTACATCCGCAGGCTCCGCGCCATCCGGGAGCTCAATAGGTGGGTGCTGTGCTGGCTTCTCCCTGGCCGATGGGGGCACAGGGTGTACGTGTGGGGTGGGGTCCCTGCGCCTGTGTTACTGGGGCTGCCTCCACATCCGGGCCCCTCAGTGGTCCTGAGTGCTCACCTGGCAGTGACCCAAGTGCAGAGTGCTGGCGGGTCCTCTCCACTGCCTTCATTAAGTTTTTCCTTTGGGTTTGGTTTTACTCTACTGGGAAGTACGTACGTACGTACTTATTTATTTATTTGGCTATAATGGGAGATTGAAACAAGGGACATTCTATCACAGAGATCCATTCGTGGCATTTTTTAATTTTTTGCTTTTAGCAGGGTCTCACTAAGTTGCCCAGGGGCACTTGAACTTGTGACCCTCCTGCCTCAGCTTCCCTGAGTGCTGGGGTTCCATGTGTATGCCACTGAGCTCGGCTTCAGGTGGCACTTTTGAGAGTCTCCTGGCTTCTAGGTGTACCCTTCCCTCTCTAGACTGTGAAGCAGTGAACCCTCAAGCTATGACAGGCCTGACATACAAACAACTTGGGTTATGACTATGACTGGGGTTTTAGTTTTAACTTATGTCCAAAGTCTTGAGTTAAAACCCAAATGCCGGCTGCTTGTGCTTCCAGATGGTCTCAGATACAGATTTAATCATTAAAGGTTCTGGAACACAACAACATCCTTTCCTGTGTGGGATTAACTGAGAAATTCTGAGCTCAGATCTGCCTGGAAGAAAGTGCAGCCTAAATTTATACAGGAGAGAGACTTTGAAGGCTGTGTAGGAGCCTGAGCCTCACAGTGAATTGAGTTCATAAGTCAAGGTTCTACTGTAATTGTGTTCTCCTTTGGTCAAGGTCATTTATTCCTGACAGCTGGTGACCCCCCTTTGGGCCTGTTAGTCTGTGGCCTGCTGAGTTCAGGTGGCCAGGTGGTCAGGTGGTCAGGTCCCCTAACCAGCTGACATCACAGTTTCTTAATCCACGCATTTCTCCCCATGCACTGGCACTTCCGGCCAAATGAAAGTCACAGGAGTGTGGAAGCAAACCTTTTTTGGGGACAGGGTCTCATTATGTAGTAGTTGAGACTGTGTAGCCCAGGCTGGTCTCGAACTCACAGCGATCCTCCTGCCTCAGCCTCCCAAGTGCTGGGGTTACAAGCATGCGCCACCATGCCCGGCTAGCGAACCTTTTTTGAACATTTGTATAATAGCAAAACCAATTCCATTCTTTGGTCTACTCTGGCTTTGAGGCAAACTATCTCATATTTACACTGCTACAATCTCTTATTAATTATAATATTTACTCCAAAGATTCTTTCAGGGGGTTTTTGTCTAAAGATAATCATGTTGCCTGTAAATAACGATAGACTTTTTTTTTCTTTCTCTTTCTCCATTCTGATACTTTTATACTTGAGCACACTGGCTGTAATTTCTAGTACAGTGTCATAGAAATGCAGGGAATACTGTGCCCTTTATCCTCGGGATCTATTCCGAGACTCCCAGGCTATCCTGTGATTGACGGTGGGTAACTGAGAACATGGATGGGAAACTACCTGTAACCTTGACATTTGTCTTGTCCAGTGGGGGGTGGAAAGTTTTTTTATATCCTCTGCTGTCATATTGAGGAAATTTGTATCTGATGAGATCACTGACTTTTTTTTTAAATGTGGTTTAATGCATTGGTTGATTTTCTGATATTAAACCTATTTTTCATTCCTGAAAAAACTCAATTTTTATAATATTGTTTTTATATTTCACTGGATATTCAATTTGCTGATATTCTTTTAGGATCTTTTGAGTCTGTGCAAAAGAAAGATTGGCCTATAATTGTCAATTCTTTCTAAGTTCTTAGATTTTGGCTCAGAGAAGGAACTGAGGAATGTTCCCTTTTAAAAATATTCTCCAAACCGGGCATGGTGGTGCACGCCTATAATCCCAGCACTTGGGAGGCTGAGGCAGGAGGATCGTTGTTAGTTTGAGACCAGCCTGGACTACATAGTGAGTTCCAGGTCAATCTCAACTATATAGTGAGATGCTGTCTCAAAAAAACCAAAAAAAAAATAAAATAAAATAAAAAGTTCTCCAGAAGAGTTCATTGTACTGTACATGAATTATGTTATTTCTTCTTTAACTGATGGATAATGATAAAACTATCAGAAGTTAGGTTTTCCACTAAGAATAATTTAATTATAGATTTTATTCAATTAATAGATTATTTTGATTTTTGTTTCATTTTTTTTGTTAGTTTTCCCATTATATGTGGTTTCAAATTTTTCAGGCATAAAGTTGTTCATAATGTTTTCTCTTTTTATCATTTTAATGTGTGTAGGATCTTCTATATTGACTTGTAATTTTTTTTCTTCTTTAAATGTCTTTTTTTGTTGCTTCGTGGGTTGCCTCTTAAGTAGACCCTTAAACTGTTTCTTTTTAGCCCTTTCTTGGACACGCATGTAAGACGTTAGCTTCATCCCTCCCTTTTGATATGTCATATCTTATTCAGGTCAAAATGTCTTTCATTGTTTTTGGTTCTTCAAGACAGGGTCTTACTATGTAGTTCAGGCCTGCCTCAAACTCAGCAATCCTCCTGCCTCAGCTTCCCAAGTGCTGGGATTACAGGCATGTGCCACCATGCCTGACAGATCAAAAAAATTTTTTTTTTTTTACTTATTGACTAAGAATATGTTGTTTAAATTGCAGATTCTTGGGGCACTTGTCTGCTTCTCTTATTACTGATGTCTAGCTAAATTCCGTCATGGCCAGAGAATGTGTTCTGTGCATTTTGTGACCTTTGAGGTTATTCGAGACTTGCCTGACATTTGCCTTCAGGGACCTGTAAAGAATGTGCTCTCCCTGCTGTTGATTGCGGTGTCCAGCTGTGTCATTTGGGCCAGGTGTGCTAACTTGTTTTTCAAGTTTTCTTATCTCCACTCTTTTTATCAGTGATCACAAGAGGCTTACACGATATCAGGCTGTGGTTTGGATTTGTGCCCTCCATCTTAGGGTGGCCGACCCTGCTGAGATCCTGGCACCCCTACCCCCTGGCCAGCCCATTCCAGGGTCCTCACCTGCCACCTGTCCTCCCAGCGCAGACAGGACAGTGCTGCTGTGCTTTGCAGAGACGTTGTGTGCCCCGCACCCGCAGGTCTCAATACTGACAGCAGGAGTGATATCTAGGACATGGCAGGGCGCCTTCGGTGTGCATCAGCAGGCACATTTTCTGGGCTGATCACACACAAGTCCACAGGCCTATTCCACACTCCTGAGTTTTCACAGTTCCTTCCTGTAGGTCTTATCAAGGCCAAAGTCATCTGCTTCCACCCTTGGGTGGGTGTGATCCTGACAGTCAGTGGAGCCCACGAGAAGTGTGACTGCATTTCCCTCTTCCTTGTGAAGCTCCCTAGACCTCTTCTCACCCATGACCCTACACCAATGCCCACATATCTCACAGAACACAGGTGGTGAGTGGAATAACAGCAGCCCAACAATGCTCACATACTGGGGCCCAGATCCTGTGCTCATGTTGCCGGAGGTGGTTAGGGGACTACGGGGAGAATCTTGACACAGGGAGATTGTCCTGGATTATCTTAATGGCCCCCAGTGCCATCAAAGGGCTTTTTGTAAGGAAGCAAGAGCCAGAGTGATTTGGGTCCTAAGCTAAGTGGTGCAGGTAACCTTGGAAGCTGGAAAAGATAAAGAAACATCTACGCCCTCCAAACACACCTCCAGAAGCATCTATCTCTGCTGACCCATTTTAGACCCTTTTTTTCTATTTGCAATACTGAGAATTGAACCTTGGGCCCTCACACTGAGCTCTGTCCCCAGCTCTTTTTTTTTTTTTTAATTAATAATTGGAGACAGACATGGTGGCGCACGCCTGTAATCCCAGCACTTGGGAAGCTGAGGCAGGAGGATCACTGCGAGTTCGAGACCAGCCTGGGCTACATAGTGAGTTCCAGGTCAGTCTCAACTACATAGTGAGACCCTGTCTCAAAAAAAAAATTTTTTTTTAAATTAATAATTGGCTTATTATTTCAAATTTTGAGACACTAAGTTTCACTAAATGTGTCTCACTAAGTTGCCCATGTTGTACTTAAACCTGGGTCCTCCTGCCTCTCCCTTCCAGGAGGCTAAGATTAGAGAGCTCTACCGCCAAGTCTGGCTTCATTTTAGACTTCGCCCACGAGAGTACTGGAGACAATAATTGTGTTGTTTCTTATAATTTCTTACAGCCACAATACAAGACTCATATAATGTATTAGCAAATCTGGCCTTATTTTTTCCCAATTGTCTGCTTCTGTTGTGTGTGCCCAGGGCAGCCCTTGATCTGACTGGTTGTGTTCCTGGGGGTGGTGGAGGGTGATGCCCTCAGGGAGTTGGTGTCACCATGCAAGCTGACTTCCTCAGCTGAGATCCTTACAGCAGCGAGGTGGGCTCAGCACATTGAGGGACCTGGGTACTTGGAGTGATCACATTTGGGGACTCCTCCACTTCAACTTTTGGGGACCCAGTCTCTATGCTGGCTTTCAGTTAGGAGGCCCCGGGAAGGTTATGATTTTTGCCTGTGTTATTTCTGGTAAGTTACAGACCCCAACTCTGCTTCTTTCCAGTAGCCCTAGAAACTCCCTGGTTTACCAACTTTTCTTTGTTTCACTTTTTTTTTTTTTACATTTTAAAAATGTGTTATAGGAAAAGATACTTAGCCATTAATCCCCCTCACAATACTCTTTCCTCACTCTTTTTTCATTGATTATTGGTACTTTTTAGTTATATAGCACAGTTACAGTCATCATTGTCATCAACTTTTCTAGGAGGTGAGAATTGGAAAGCTTGAGCCTGTCTTTTTTTGTTTTTTTGTACTGGGGATCGAACTCAGGATTTTGTGTCTGCCACTGCGCTAAATCCCTGGCCCAAGCCTATTATTTTCTTATTATAAGTTTTCCAGCATAGTCAGATGTAGCCACTCCGTCTCTTTATCCCAGGTGAGTTCATGCAGAGCCCTGGACTACCAGGGTTCCATCTCCTCCTAATAACTGGGTCTTCACCACTTTCAGACCAGCCTTGTTATAGCCCTGGCTCCAGCAGCCCATTTTTTTCCTAGCTGTGATCTCATCAGGCACCGTAGGTCATGGTGGAAGGGTCCTGCTTATCTGTAGCAAATCGTTACCACCTCGGTGGCTGAGGGGCTGGCGCCCGGCTCAGCAGCAGCGCACGTGCTTAGGCAAGGCCAGCCCCACCACAAAAACAAATAAATACAAAATAAAGACTTGAGTGACTTAGACCAGCACTGTCATCTTACAGTTGTGTCACTCTGAAGCCCTGTGGGGAGAACATGTCTCCTTGTCTGTTCTCCTCATCTCCAAATCTCCTCCTCTCTCTGACCGCTGCTTCTATTGTTGCATTGCCATCTCTCCCTCTTTCTCTCAGCAGGACCTGTGCGATGACATTGGGCACCCAAATAATCTAGGATAGTTTCCCCACATCAACGTTTATGCCCCTCTTCCCAGTACCAAGTTCCTCAGGTTCCATCCAGCAACTGAGATAGGACATCTTTCCAGGGCGATTATTCCAGCTACCACATTCCTGTGTCAGTTGTGGACAAAAAAGAGTCCAAGTACGTGGGATAATCAGAACGGGGATGGTCACTAAAGGGCAGTGTTAGTGCTGAATCTGCAATGGCCGGGAAAGGAGACTCGCGGAGATATTCAGACGGTGCCTCAGGGCTGAGCTCTGCCACAGCCAGGACCCTTTTACCACTGTACTCCTAGAAAAATGATGTGACTGTCTCGTCACTCTGCCTGCTTGGTGACAGCTAGGCTGTGCAGAAGGATGGCACGCCTTCTGGGGAGTATAGTTTTCAGGGACTCAGCACCCTCTCATATTCTACACGGGAGGAGGGGGTGGGTCATGGTAATGAGCCAGTCTTAAAGAGTGCAGCACGTTGGGTGACAGGAAGACAGTCCCTCTCTGACAGGGGACATTTGATCACATCCCCAGAGGAACAAATCCCCAGAGATCATCTCAGCGAAGAACAACTGTGAAGACAAGGCCCGGCCTTAATACCATAGCCTTTTGCTTTGGTAACTGCATAGGCATAGGGACCTGAATTTTCACGAGACTTCCTTTTCCTCTCTCAGGAAAATAAGGGAACATTGTACTTTCTTCTAAAGAAAGACAATTATATGTCATCAAATCCAACATTAATAGTTTTTTGGTTTTTTGTGGTTTTTTTTGGTACTGGGGATCGAACTCCCATTCTTGCACTTACAAGGCAGGCAGCAGAACTGCTGAGCTAAATCCCCGGTCCTAACATTAATAGTTTTAAGACACAGCATTTAGGAACCAATAAGAAAGAAAAGTTGCTGCCAATTAAATAGTAACTTGCCTTTGGTTGTAAGATGTCTTTTGATTTTGAAGATACTTCTGTGTGGAAACAGGTCAGAGAGTCAGTGAAATGGTCGAAATTAATAGATAAGACAGAGGTGGGTGTTTTCTTTCATTTAACTGTGAGTCTTTGATTTCAGAACTGTGGAAGATCTGAAAAATAATGAAAGCCAGTGGAAAGACTCCCCGCTGGCAACCAGACACCGCGAGATGCTAAAGCGCTGTAAAACTCAGCTTAAGGTGTGTAAATCTCATTGGCATCATTACGGACAGGTATCATAGCAGTAATTTTTCTTGCAGAATACGTTCCTGGAGTGAGTAGTTCAGTGTCCTGATTTTCTTCTTCATTCTCCCTTTCCGTCAAGATAAAACAGGACATGTTAAAACTTGTTGATAGCTGGTGTGCACCTCGGTATGGTTATTTAAATCCCAGCACAGAATCTGCACATGCTTAAGCAGTGACAGCATGAGTTCTTCATGGGTTTTCTTCCCCTCGGCTTCACGTCACCACCCTTAGCCCACTTTATGCAAGATGCTCCCTGTCCGCTGCCTTCTGACCCACAGCCCACCATGCACACATGCTCTGGACGTCTGGCGCTGCAGCCCCATCATACCTGCCAAGACGGATCTGTAGTAATGCAAAGATCTCTTTCCGTTGCCCCATTCTCCGATTTTAATTGAAAATGATCTGTCCTGCAGAACTTAATGATACCTGGAAATATTCCTACTTGTAGGACTCAGCTAAAACAGATAATGACAGCCAGGCGTGGTGTGCACACCGGTAATCCCCACACTCGGGAGGCTGAGGCAGGAGGATTGCTGTGAGTTCAAGACCAGCCTGGGCTACATAGTGAGTTCCAGGTCAGTCTCAAGTATAGTGAGACCCTGTCTCAAAAACCAAAAAAAAAAGAAAAGAAAACAAAACAAAAAACAGATACTGGCTGACCTTGCACAAGGAAACCTTCAGTACTTATGTTCAAATAACAATGCTGAAGGTGAGCTGGCCATGCTTCCTGTGGACTAGTAGGATGATCTGGGGAAACAGCCAGCCTGATTTCTGGTACAGGTTAAGATTTCAGTTTTGCATTTGCTAATGGAGCAGACACTTGAAGGTACAAAATCAACCAGGGGCTCAGAGCCCCCTACCAGTTGCACAGATGTGTTCTGGGGTCTCTGAACTGTCACATTTCCATGTCCCTGTGTGCATGCATGTGTGCTTTATCCTCGGACAGCCCTCTGAGGCACAGAGCACTTCCTTGGTGGGCAGGCCTTTGATCTGTCTGAGGGCAGCTCATTAATGGTGGTGCTAGAATTCAGATGTGGACTTGTCTGGCTTTTTTCCACTAACCATCCTGACACCCAGAGGGCCTCCCTGGCAGCCCCAACCCAACCATGTCATTGAAATGTGACTGTAACAACTAACCTTCTTGAGCACTAACTGTGTGCTAGACTTTGTGCTCAGTGGTTTGCATGGCATATCTTTGGTTTTTTCCAGGAAATAGATCTTGACACAACCAGCATCCTGCAGTCAGTTAGAGAGAAGGGTCTAGAAGCTGTAGCACTAGACTTCCCGTCTCCTGGTCCCCTTCCCTCCCCAGTCACACTGCTGGGCCTCAGCTCCTGACTAATCTTTGGGTGGGGGCACACCTACTTCCACAGAAACTGGTACGGTGCAAGGCCTGTGCTGACGCTGGCTTACTTGACGAGAGCTTCCTGAGAAGATGTCTGAATTTTTATGGCCTTCTCATTCAGCTGCTGCTCCGCATCCTGGACCCTGCATATCCCGAGTGAGTGTGCTCTTTCCTCTTTGCCGCGTCTCTATTGTCTGGGCTGTGTTGTCATGGTTGTTCTCTGGAGTCAGTAACAAAAGCTGAAACCCTAACTTTACTGAGGATTCTCTTTCCAGACTTTGCTGGTGAAGCCCATGAAATAAGTATATCAAAATATATCCCTCATGATTAGTTAACCGTCAAAGGAAAAAAGCCAGTGCCTATTTTTTACACTTGAACATAGCATTTTAAAAAAATACCTTACAAAATCTTTGATGGAAAGGGAAATCAATAAATGGGAAGCTAAAGCTGGAGACAGCAGGATATGAGTCCCTCCTCGGCCCTGGGTCTGGCAGAGTGCCCAGCAAATTCTGAGTGAGCTAAGGACACTCGGTCACTTTGTCATCAACAGGACATCTCCAGGCAGCCAGTTTTGTTTCATTTATTTTCTAGTTATTAGGAAATCTGTGGGCCAGATGTGTTGGTTTATGCTTGTGATCCCAGCACCTGGGAGGCTGAGGCAGGAAGACTGCCACAAGTTCAAGGCCAGACCAGCTACATAGTGAGTTCCAGGCCAGCCTGAACTATATTGGAAGCTTGCCTCAAAAAAAAATAAAGAAAGAAAATAAATAAATAAATAGGGGCCAGGGATTTAGCTCAGTGGTTCTGCTGCTGGCCTGGCAATCACAAGGACTCCGAGTTTGATCCCCAGTACCCCCCAAAATTCCATTGAATTCAAAGCAATAAATAAGGGAAGTCTGTGGGTCACCACTGTTGATGAGATTGGCCCAAACCCTGTATAGGAATGAAAAATAACATGTGTTGGCCCTAACAGTTTGACTCACACAAAATGAGCGAATATAATCTTTTTTTTTTTTTTTTTTTTTTTTTTTTTTTTTTTTTGTACTGGGGATCGAACTCATGACCTTGCACTTACGAGGCAGGTGGTGTAACCACTGAGCTAAATCCCCGGCCCACAAATATAATCTTTCATTTCCTTCCCACTTTATTGTATTAACCTTATACCAAATCAAGGTGAGAGAAAACATTTCACACCCACCCTAGCACACCCACTGTCTCATTCTCTTCTCATTTCTGGTTGTAGTTTCTTTGCCTGTATATTTTCTATATAGTTGTTTGATAGCATGAGAGGTAGATTTTTATCTACAGGTAGCATGATATTCCTTGTACTTTGATACACCACGATTTCGTTTTGTAAATTGTGCTTTTTTTTCTCTTTGACAGCGTAACACTGCCTTTAAGTTCAGATGTCCCCAAGGTATTTGCAGCATTGCCAGAGTTTTACGTAGAAGATGTTGCTGAATTTTTATTTTTTATTGTACAGTAAGTACATCTGACATGTACTTCAACATGTTCTTGTACATCACGGGTGCACGCTGTTAGGAACCGTGTCGCAAAGCTTTGTTTATACACTGTTCTTAACCGAGTTAAATAAAACTGGAAAAGCAAACCTGTTCATGGCTACAGGCCCCGTCCAGCAGCACCTCAGGCCAGAGCAGGAGCAACCATGCAGATAATGCCAGGCTCGGTGTTGGTAGGTGAGCATGTGTTCTGAGAAACAGAGCACACAGTTACTAAACATCCCAGGTGAACATCCAAAAGCTACGAATATGCACATCCGTATTTTATACCATAATTTGGCTCAGTTGTAAATTTGGAGAAAGTATATAAAGAAATGGTTTGATCTTACAACTGGTACTTGAGAATTTCCTTTCCCCAATTTAAAAAGTTTGTACATGGTTTATAAAACTCACATTCCAAGAGCTGAGGGTGTAGCTCACCTAACGTGCAAGAGGTCCTAGGTTTGATCGCAGAACCACACAGCGAGACGATTTCACACCAAACCTTTCAAACATGATCAGCTAGAAGAATTCAGGGTGCAGTTCCTTGCCACTGTGATAGGGTCACTGCCATCAGATTGGCTGGGGAAGAAAGTGGTATGTGAAGCCTGCTTTCAAAAGTAAGAGTGGTGTAAATTCACGGTCACAAAATACGAATTGTGAATATTTGCTAACAACAGGAAAATACAAAGTCAGTATGATTTTTAAATCACAGCCCAAATTAAATGGAGCAAATTGTATTGCTGTCATAAAAGCTGCCCCAGCAAGAGTCCAGATCAGCAGTGAACGTGCGTTTTGAATGGTGAGGAATGGGAAGGGTGACGAGAAATCCTGATTTATTTATTGAATGAAAACTAGCCTTGGAATTGAAGTTACATAAGTTATGTTTAAAAAGTTTTTCCCAAACACTGCAACATACCACTTACTTGAAATGTTTCATTCTTTTTGGGGAGGGGGTACTGGGGATCAAACTCAGGACCTTGTGGTTGTGAAGCAGGCAGTGGAACCACTGAGCTAAATCCCCAGCCCTATTTTTTAAAAAATAAAATGCACTTGGGCCCGGGGATTTAGCTCAGAGGCACCTCACTTGCCTTGCAAGCGCAAGGTCCTGAGTTTGATCTCCGGGTACAGCCCCATGCCCGCCCACTGCAAAATTAAAACAACTTCATCAAAAACTTTTTTTTTAGACTTTTGGTAATGATGATCTTTTGTGAATTTTTTTCAGATTTAATCATAGCTTTTTTTCTGAAGCACAGTAAGTTGATACGATACAGCCAATAGATGTATTTGGGGTTGTTTTGTTTTTGTTTTTGTTTTTTGGGTACCAAGGATCAAATTCAGGCCCTTGCACATGGAAGGCAGGCAGCAGCACTACCACTGAGCTAAATCCCTGCCCTAGAGGTATTTGGCTTTAAGGCTGCCTCCTTACACCAGGTGTGATGCGCACCTGTAATCCCAGCATCAGGAGGCTGAGCCAGGAAGAGCACTGCTAGTTCGAGGCCAGCATGGACTACACATATCAAGACCCTGTCTCAAAAAACCAAAAATAATAAGTCAATTAAATAAAGCCACTCTGCCTGAATACAGTGTATGAAGACATTGGGCAAGTTGAGGGGAACTCGGGGTCTCTGCTCCTGGACTGTCCATCCCAGCCCCTCCCCACCCGGTGACTCTGCCTGCACACGAGTAGCACTTCTGAGGCTTCTCCCTTGGCCCTCTCCCCCGTCCAGATACTCGCCTCAGGTGCTCTATGAGCCCTGTACTCAGGATATCGTGATGTTCCTTGTCGTGATGCTGTGTAACCAGAACTACATCCGGAATCCGTACCTAGTGGCCAAACTTGTCGAAGTCATGTTCATGACCAACCCTGCTGTTCAGCCGCGAACCCAGAAGTTTTTTGAAATGATTGAGAACCACCCACTCTCCACCAAATTGTTGGTACCTTCCCTGATGAAGTTCTACACAGGTGGGTTTTAGGGAGTGTTTGGGCAGATTCAGGGAAGCCAGTAGGTGGTGATGCTAACGTGTTACCTAATGACCTGGGGTCCACTTAGGAGTGTGTCACCCTCCACCCCCAGAACACGTGCTCTGGGTTCTTCCCCACCCCCCCGAGCCTGTGAAATATTTTCTTGCCTGTCCTACATTCCAATCTCTTAACGATGTAGCAGGTTCACTTTGCTGTCAGTGGCCTAAGAGGATGTTTGTATCTGAATGAATTACCTGGTTTGTTTTCACTTTGAACTTTACTTTGAGCATTACTTTTGTAACTGTCCCATAATTCTGAGTTTTTAAAGTGTGCGTAAAATAGGGTGCTTGTTACAAATGTGTATTCTTGGCCAAGCATTGTGGCATACACCTGTCACAACCAGCACTTGGGAGGCTGAGGCAGGAGAGTTGCTGCAAAGTTCAAGGCCAGCCTGGGTTACATAGTGAGACCCTTCTTCAAAACAACAAAACAGAAAAGACTTGCTTATTCTTGTTCCCCACTGAAGCCAGTGGGATCTGGGTATCTTCGTTTATTCATTAATTCAGTATATGTTTATGTTTTGCTCCCTGTTAAAGATGGCAGAGAGCAGTGAGGGAATCTGAGCACCGCCTCCTCTTTTGGTCAACTCATATTCCACATTTTCATTTTTCAGTTTCATCTGTTATTACCCACAAGACCTCTTCATCTGGCTGAGGTGCGAGATCGCAGAGGTGGAATATCCTCCCGCCCACTCATGTATTTATCAGGGAAGCAAGTGTGCTGGTCTGACTTGTTTTCTGCCCAGTGTAGTGCATCGGGACGCTCAGCATGTGTCTCTGGCATTTACTAGACTCTCCTCACAGTGCTCTCCCCTCAAGAAATGCTGCTGCCGGGAGCTCAGCCCCTGCCTGTCCCTGCTGCAGTCTCTCCACTCCTAGGCTTCTGTAACCCTGTCTACTTGCTTTTCCCTGTGTTACTGTTACCCTGTGGCCTCTAAGTTTCTCTCCTTCCTCAGCCTATCCTCTTATATCTTCCGCTTTCATATGTTTTGTCCATACCTGTTCGGCAGCAGTAGGGGTACTCCTGGGTCAGAGTCCCCTTCCTGGGTGACTGTCATCCTCTTTCACGTTATCAGCCATGCAAGGGCCAGCACAAATCATTCGCATATAGGAGGTGCTGATCCATTTACAGTTAGGACCAGGACGGTGCCCTGCACATCATTTAAACTGGAAATACACAGTGTTAACATATTTTCAGAGAAATAGACTGACCTGCAAAAGGCTAATCCCTCCTGTAGCCATTGTGCAGCATTAGTGCTATGAAACTCATGAAATTGTGAATTGGGAAATCTTTCCGGCAAAGGCTTACTTCTGAAGGGCCTTAAAAATATTTATGCCCTCATCAAGCGCAGTGGCACATACTTACAATCCCAGCTGCTTGGGAAGCCAAGGCAAGTTCAAGGCCAGCCAGGGCATCTTAGCAACACTTTGTCTCAAAGTTATTTAAAAATGGAAAAAAAAAAAAGCCTAGCCTTTTTTGGTGGTGGCGCCTGCCTGTAATCACAGTACTCTGGAGGCTGAGGCAACAGGATCTCAAGTTTGAGCCCAGCGTGGGCAAATTGGTGGTTCAATTTTCCTAAAAAGAAAAATATCTGTCATTTTCTTTATATCAGTTAAGTCCCAGTCAGGAAAACAGAAACATGCCAGGTGTTTTAACAGAGAGAATTAAACATGAGGAACTGGTCAAAGATATCAGAGACTGCTTTGGGAAAACAGGACCATTGCAGGGACAGTTTGGTGGAAGGTGCAGCCATGGTCTCCCTGGACCAGGAACCAAGGGAAGTATCGGGGTGATTAGAACCCACTTGTGCCACAGAGTTCTGGATGGACGTGGGCCAGTTGGTGCCTGGTGAAGCTGGCTGAAATTACTAGTGCTGGTGGTGCCAGACAGGGTATTGGCACTGCCACCTGTGGCTGGAGGAAGAACCCATGACAGCTGAGTCCCCATCTGTCCATCTGGTCCGCGCTGCAGTGCCCTCTATTGGTGACCTTTTCTCCTATTTTCACGTTGTTTTCTTGTCCCTTCTTCCGTTCTCCATTCTTCCTCCCTTCCTTGTTCCCCTACCCATTTGAACACTTTCTTCCCATTTCCCAACATTCATTATACAACTCAGTCCTCATTTCCACTTTCAGTTTCTTACACTAGAGAAACAGTGCAGTATTTAAACATGTGTGTTCAATTATTTCACTTAAGAGTATGGTCTTAAGGTCCATCCATTTAGCTATAAATGTCTGAAGCTCATCCTTCTTTACGGCAGAGTAGTACTCCATTGTGTTAAAAAAAAAACCCCACATCTTTATCCACTTGTCTGTTGGTGGGCATCTGGGCTGTTTCCAAGATTTAGCTATTACAGATTGTGCTGCTATAAACATGGGTGTGCATATATTGCTGTGAAAGGATGCTTTTAATTCTTTTGGGAAGATACCAAGAGAAGGAATCGCTGGGTCAAATGGAGCCTCTAGTTTTAGTTTCTTTCTTAAGAAATCTCTACCCTGATTTCCACAGTGGCTGCACCAGTCTACAATCCTACCAGCAGTGGAACAGGGTTCCTTTTTCCCATGGCCCCTCCAGCGTTTGTTATTGGTTGACTTCTTGATAGCAGCCATTCTTTCACTACAGGATTATTTTGAATACAGTGTATTGGAAACACTGCAAAGCAATTACATGTCTGTTGTGGATAAATTAAATAAGTTACAGTTTCTACAGTAGCCAATATGATCCTTGAAAAATAATGTTATTTATATTAAGTGGTTAAGTAACAGAAAGTAAAGAAAATGCCACACTGTGGTGGTGCCACCTGTAAAACTCAGCACTCTGGTAGTCTGAGGCAGGAAGATTGTAAGTTCAAGCCCAGCTTGGACAACTTAGCACCCCAGCCTCAAAATAAAAATAGAAGAAGGTCTGGGATATAGCTCAGTGCAAAGGCCCTGGCTTCACTCTCCAGTATCACAAAAAAATAAAAATAAAGAAACAACAAAAAAACCCACATAATTGAAGCAGTTACATTTATACTACAAACAAGCAAAGTGAGTGGATTCAGCATCCGGTGCCTCAGGCCTGTGTGCACATGTGTGGGGCTGGGCTGGTGAGTGGGTATTGTTCTCTGTCCCCTTCACCGTGCAGCTGTGTGCCCTCCAGCCTGGATGACACCACCCCGAAGTCACACACAGATGCCACCGTCCTAATAATAGCGTGCTCCTCAAATACTCCCTGATCCTTCTACCTAATCCACCACGGCCCGAGGACAGCTCTATAAATACCTCCCTTCACCAGTGGGGAAACTGGAGCTTAGAAAGGTCAGGAAGCTTGCTGAAGGTCAAGAGCAGGCAGGTGGCAGCAAAGCCTGCAGTTGGACTCCAGCACAGGTGCACTGGCCCACGCAACTTTCTCCTGCAGCGACAAGGCCCCCCCCCTCTAGAGGGCCCTGCAGAGTTGGGGCTCCAGAATGCTCCCCCAAAAGACGAGCAGCCCCTGTGCAGATCTGCAGAGGAGCAGCCAGCTGGAGCAGATTCCCCATACAGGATCGATGCGAGCACCAATCTCCTCTTGGCCAGAAGTGGTGTGATGGCTTAGGAAATGCTGAGCTTCCAGATCTTGTCTTAGAGATCCAGTCAGGTTTCAGAATAAGAGTGCTGTACCTTCTCACACAGCACCGTGACCCTTGAAGGAGGGCTCCGAGGACTAGCAGGACACAGATAAAGAAAGCTCATGTCCAAACCCTTCCCTGCCTAGCACTGATCCAAATGGTGCAACCCCATCAGAGTGGGTTCGTGCTAGGTGACGCTTCTTCCGCTGCCGCAGCTACTGCTGTGCACCTGGGACATGGCGCGGAGAACTCTGGCGAGGGTCTAACAGCCGAACAGTAGGACTTTGCTGAGTGTCCATGAGAATCAGTCTTGGGACATTGCTTGCGTTTTCTTGTGGAGGACTGGCGGACGGCAGGGACAGGCACGCTGCTGGCCACGCTACATCTTGTTAAATTGACCTTAGCCTGTGTTGCCTTTCATTCCTGCCACTGCAGTGGTGTGCCTGTTCCCCAAATCTTCACCTCTGCTGTCCTTTCATTTCCTCAGTGTGCCAATTAGGTTAAAGATAGTTACTTATTTTATGTGTTTAGTTCTTCCTTGCGTCAGCTGTTTATACCATTTTTAAAAATTTGTCATTGCCGGGCATGGTGAGGCACACCTGTAATCCCAGCATTTGTGGGGCTGAGGCAGGAGGAACACTGCAAGTTCGAGGCCAGCCTGAGCTACACAGTGAGTTCAGAGCCAGCCTGAATAGGGAAACTCTCATAAATAAGTAAGTAATAAGTATCATGAACTCTGGAATTTTTCATACTTCAGCTATTTTCCATTGGTATAACAAAATTTGATTTTTGCTCCATTTTAATAGGTACAGGGATGTCGGTAATTGATAAATGAGCAGTAGGTATGGGGGATTCGCTGTGCTTTTATGTGCTTCAGGACACCTCAAAAGTATGCGTGACACACACAAGTCTTCAGGACAGTAGGCATACTCACTAGGTTCATACCCTTCAGTAAAATTCAGGGCTTCAGGGCTGTGCATTTGAAGTGCTAACTCCTGGTGGCCAGCTTTGATTTTCTTTTCTCTTTTTTTTTTTTTTTTTTTTTTTTTTTTTTTAGAACAGTAGGCATACTCACTAGGTTCATACCCTTCAGTAAAATTCAGGGCTGTGCATTTGAAGTGCTAACTCCTGGTGGCCAGCTTTGATTTTCTTTTCTCTCTTTTTTTTTTTTTTTTTTTTTTTTTTTTTTTTTTTTTTTTTTTTTTTTTTTTAACTCAAGACCTTGTGCTTGCCAGGCAGGCGCAGTGCCACTGAGCGTCATCCCCAGCCCAGACCAGCATGTGGAGTCTGCTTTCGTTCCCCACGAGCTGGTGCTGCTCTAGTGTGCCAGCGATGTCACAGCCGGTGCCTTTCAGTGTTGAGTCATTGCCAGACCTTCATTGTGAAACTGCTTGTCATCTTTCCTCTCCTGCCTCCTCTCTTCAGGAGATGCAGGTTAAACTTGACCTCTCGCCGTACTGCAGATATGGTTCCCTCGATGTCATTGATGTTGGGGTAACTGCCTGTCCCTCAGTCTCTCTCTTGTTTTTCCATAGATGTTGAGCACACTGGAGCCACCAGCGAGTTCTATGACAAGTTCACCATTCGCTACCACATCAGCACCATCTTTAAAAGCCTCTGGCAAAATATAGCTCACCACGGCACCTTCATGGAGGAGTTCAAGTGAGTACTGGGCCCTCCTGTCTGTCCCAGCCTGCTGTCTCGCAAATCACAGGTGGGGCGCAGCTTACAGGTTTCCCCCGCTGGGTCCCTGTTTACTCTGCACTCGCATGAGATAGCTGAGCTCTAGATTTATCCACATAGTTTAAGGTGGGTTACAGAAAGAAGGATTCTGATAAAACGTGAATGTTGTGTTTCTTGGTGTTCCTCTGTTAACGCTGTTGAACAGAGTCGCCAGAAGGACTGAAATGAAATCTTTTTTGGTTTTTTGAGACAGGGTATCACTATGTAGTTGAGACTGACCTGGAACCCACTATGTAGCCCAGGCTGGTCTCAAACTCACAGCAATCCTCCTACCTCAGCCTCCTGAGTGCTGGGATTACAGGTGTGCACCACCATACCCAGCTGAAATGAAATCTTAACCGTGCTTTTGAGAATTAAATTTGAAGCTAGGAATCAAGTTAGATGGAGAAGCAGTTAGGTTAGAGGTGTCATCTGGAGGATCATTACCTGTAGGGCACTGCTTGTCACTGGGACCTTCAGCCTTGGTTAAGGACTTCCCATAACCCTGGCTGAGATTTCAGGGACTTTAAACCTGGACATCCATCCTATTATCTGTTGGTGCTTCAAAAAGAGATGGGAGAAAGATAATGGGAGATGTTGCACTCCTAGATTATTCTTCAGAAGAAATTTTATCCCATTGACTTGGATCTTTTATATCCTGTTAGGTCTTTGATCAGATCTTGAGAACTTGTTACCTTTGTTACTACTAGTCAATACTGGTTTATTACCCATTTGCTAGCTAGCTTCCTGCAGCCTAAACCAAGATAGTTTCCATTTCTAGACCTTCTCTTAGGGCCAGCGTTATGTTCCACCAAAAGCCTAGCGTGAGTGTAAAGAGTGAGCTGCGCCATGCCCCTTTGAAAATATGTGCCCTGGACTCTGGGCGTCCTAGGCCCAGGCCGCTCACCCTTGTTCCCAGAGACCTCTCTTGGCCTGGCCTGGCTTCCGTCCCCATTTCCATGGTTGTAGGTCCAGAAGCAGAGCTCCTCTTCAGAGTCCACCAGGCAGCCCAGGCAGCTTCAGTTCAGCAAGTCCCTTCATGATAACAGTCTGCAGAACGCTACCTTACACCAGAAGATGCGGGCTTGCAAAATGAGTTCATACCCTCCTTTTTCGATATTCTAGGTCAAGTTTTCCCTCAGTGTCTTTCTTTGTGCTGATCAGTGACTTCATAGTTCTCTTGTCTGCTAATACAGGGGATTCTTTCTGCTTTCCTTGCTTTATGAAGAGTGTAGGCATATATCCTTTTCAACCTGAAGAGTGTCTCTGCTTAGAAGCACTGAGGGAACGAGCCAGGGTGTGCTGGGAAACCTGCTCTCAAGAGGGAAAAATTGGCCCTGGTTGCCAATTTAAGCTGCTAAAGGAATCTGCTCACAGGCTCACAGACTTTGAAGTGTTTACCACTTGCTTGCCAGGAGCCCCACGAGGTTCCAGCACACCACCTGACGAGCTTATCACGGTAATGGGAAAGAACAGAACCGAGAGAGACACCATAGGCCTCGCAGTCCGCGGGGCCTGGGTCACACCAGCTGACCCATGGGGGGCGTGGATGGCGCCCGGGAAGGCTCACTTTCTCAGACACCTGCTGGGTGTGTGACCAGCACCATCTCTTGCCTTTTCAGTTCCGGGAAGCAGTTTGTTCGCTATATAAACATGTTGATAAACGACACAACGTTCTTGCTCGATGAAAGTCTGGAGTCGCTGAAGCGGATCCACGAGGTGCAAGAAGAGATGAAGAACAAAGAACAGTGGGACCAGTTGCCTCGGGTGAGAATGAAATTGGGGTCTACACAGCTCTGCAGGGACGTAGGTGGAACTCTGGCTCGGGGCTCTATCTGTGGGTCTATCTGGTGGCACTGGAGCTTACTGTGCCAGATTTCCCTACCTATGGGCCTCCATAAAATGAAATCTCAAGTTTGGAATAGGAGAAGCTGCTTTTTTGGTATTAGGGACCAAAGATATGGCCTTGTACATTCTGGGCTAGTGCGTGCCCTACCACTGAGCTGCCTCCCGCCCAGGGGTAAACTTTGTAAAGTATTTTATCTGAAGCTAAGCAGTGAATTGAGAAGCCTTTCAAAATGCATCCTGAAAACACTCTCTGCCTTTTTAATTTAATTTCATTTACTCTTTTTAAGTTTTTAATTTTATTACCTTTTTTTTTTGGTATCAGGGATCAAACTGAGGACCTTGTGCTTGCGAGGCAGGCAGCGGAACCACTGTGCTAAATCCCCAGCTGCCTTTTTAATTTTAAAGGGCTTTTTTAGAGAAGACCTTTCATTGTCCACATATACTAAATTTTGTGAAAGCAGCTTGAAGTAAATCTCCAGAGTTCTGTCTGCTAGGGTAGCATCTGATTCACTCCTGTGCTTTTCTTCTTGAGGCAACTGAATCAGTCGCTCAGGGTTCTTGCGGTTCTTTCTCTTTCCATTGATGTTGGGTTTTCTACTCAGTTATCAGACAGGCCTGGTTTCCATGAAAACTTCAGGTGCTGCTGACAGTCTGTCCCCTCCCTGACTCCATGGCAGCTTCAGATGATTACTGGGCTCTTGGCAGCTGCGGGGCCTCAGAGACAGAGTAGTTCCGAGTCCGAACTGCCTTCCAAAGGAGTTCTTACCTACAAGCATCCTCCCCACGAAGGCACGGAAGCAGTGCTCATGCTGTGGAGTCAAGAGTTTCATGGCTGGCCGTGGTGGCGCGTGCCTGAAACCCCAGCATGAGAGGCTGCAGCAGCAGGATCACCATGAGTTCAGGGCCAGTCTGGGCTACATAGTGAGGTCAAGGCCAGCCTGAACTACGTAGCGAGACCCTGCCTTAAAAGACAAGCAAAACAAATTAAAACTTAAGAAAGAGTGTCATAACTATAGGCAGTGGCAGTGTGTTTAGGGAAGGTTTTCACTCTAGGTACCTTTGCAGCTTTCCTAAGAATTTACATCTTGCTCCCCACTTCATGCTGCACTGCGAGCATAAACCTTACAGAGGGCTCTGCCCAGCGCCCGGAAATGGTGGCTATCCCATGCACCCGTGCTCACACGCTCCTTGAGCCCCTCTGAGGGCACTGTAGTTCAACAGTGTTTTCTGGCACCATGCTGGTACCCCTGGCATCCACACACTGCCCTCGTAGTCGTTTCCAGGGACACCCTCGGCTGTGTAGCACCAGAGCACAGAGCCCTCCCACAGCTTCCCTGCACCCTGGGGTTGAGGCAGCCTTGGTGATCCCGTGACCCAGTGCCCTGGCCTCTCAGGGTATTGCTGAGCTCTGCCAGGTCCATCTCCTCTGCAGTCAGCACCAACGGATGGGTGCTGCCTCCTGGGGAGGAAGTTGCAGGCACCACAGCTCTGGTGTCTTAATTTGACCTGGGCCTGAGAACTGGCATTGCCCCAATGCAGAAACCAGAGAGAACACCTGCCTGGCAGGCGCTCCTAGAGTGGGAGATGAACAGGAAGTGTTAGCTCCAGCCATCCAGATGCTCGGTGTGTGTGGCTCGGTTTCCTTTGCCGTGAGACATTTCTGTCCTGTGCCGTGTTAGACCCCTGCCCATTTTCTGAACGAGGACTGGTGCAGTACCCACCTCCTCGCTCTGCTTGACAAAGACCAGCTCCTGCAGATGCTGGGCTCCAGGTCTGTGGCAGACTCTCATCCACAGTCAGTGCTTAGCACTTGACAACACACGCCATCGATTTGTCCCTTAATGGATGCATAAAGGCACAGAGAGTCCCCAGCAGTTGCTATTTCAGGTGGCATTCTTCCTCCTTCTGCTTCCCCGGCTGTTCCTGCTCCTGTCCCCAACCTCTGAACCCAGACAGTCTCTAGCACTCAGCCTTGTTCCCTGGCTTGGCGGGTCCCAGCCAGGGTGCTATTTGGAATTTTAAGCATAGTGGAGTTTTGATGATTGCTTACCCTTTCTGATGACAAACTGTCCCCCCCTGCAGGATGTGTATAGCACCTCTGGTTCCTGCCCATTGAATACCAGGGACCTAACCTCCTGCCTCTGCCATCATGAGCCAGAAACATGCATAACCCAAAGCCCCAGTTGAGAATCAGTGCCAGAGAATAACTTCAATGGCTTTAAATGTATGTTTGTTTTTACGGCTCTGAGGATGAAATCTGTGGCATTCACAATGAGCTACATCCCTTCCCCCCGCCCTTTTGCTTTTTTGGTTCCAGGGATCAAACTCAGGACATTGCACTTGCAAGGCAGGCAGCGGCACCACTGAGCTAAATCCCCAGCCCCAGCCCTTCTTTTTGTGAGATAAAATCTTTCTAAATTGCCTAACCTAGGCTTCCTGCCTTAGCTTTCCAGAGTGCCGGGTTGCAGGTGTACGGTACCTCACCGGGCTGTAAATTTACTTGTTTTTAAGAGCCCACAATATTTCTTCTGCTCATTTGGGCTGGCTCCAGACCTCAATGTCCAGTGCTGACTTGCCTTGCTGTCCCCTAAAGGGACCCTCAGTGCTGTCGTGCAGCTCTGCCGCCTGAGTGTACCCGGCCAGCCGCTATCACTCAGCACCGTGGTACTGCCCTTACTCTCATACCTCTCTCTTGAGGAAGGGCCTCGAGGCTCTATCCTACAGTAGCAGGCTGGGCTGTAGCTTCATGGTAGAGCCCTTGCCTAGCATGCCTTGGGTTCCATCCTGACACCATAATAAAAGAAAAACAAGTACAAAGGAACACATTTTACATATATAATCTCCTCTTCCCACCCAGTCTTGCCTGCACTGCTGCTGCACAGCCCTATTCCGTCTGCAGGCCCTGCGGCTGCCTGTGTCCCTGCCAGAGGGATGCCGTCAACATGGGCTCTCACAGCCCTGTTTTCAGAGCGCCCCTGGGCTCCCTCTGCCCCAGCACTCAGGGTCCACCCCTTCAGGGCGGCAGCACCTCTCCTCCCCACTCCCACCTGGCCTCCTTGCCTCTACCTGCCGTGCTGTGTCCCCCTTCTTTTTGGGCTGGCCCAGTCCCAGAAGCTCCCTCACGCATCCCAGAAGCTCATCTCCCACAGAGGCTGACCCCAACCTCCCTCCCTCCCCCTGACCTCGCGAGCTTTTGTACTGCCGGGCTGTTTGCGGCCTATGGAATCCGTGCTCCTACCTGCAGGCAGCCAGGCCTGTGGGATCACCTGTGTGGCCTCCCTGGAGCAGCCCCCAATTTGGCTGCAGGCTCCACCGTGCACCTGCTGACCTCTGACCCAGTGTGTGCACACTCAGGTGTGGGCTCACTCAGCTGCACCAGCGATTCCAGTAGTTTTCCCTCCACTAATGGGAGAAGGCCTCTAGGCCTCTAGGGCTGGGGCTTTAGCTCAGTGCACCTCGCCTGCAAGGTTCTGACTTCGATCCCAGTACCAAAAAAAGGAAAAAAGCTCAGCCAGCATGGGGTGTGGCAGGGTTTGAAATGGAGAGGACTGAGTAACAGTTCTTACTAAGGGAGACATAAGATCCTTGAGAATACTGTGTGTTCTCAGTTAATCAGGGGCCGGGGATGCAGCTCAGCAGCACAGTGCCTTCCTGGCAAGAGCAAGACCTTTAGTTTGATTCCCAGTACCAAAAAAGGTGGGGGGAAACTGTCACTTAATTCATCCCACATGGACTTTAGTTGTCATTGAGAAAACTTAGGGTTGAATAATGTGCTCAGTCTGGGCTGGAACTCAGGGGTGGCCCTGGGTACCATCTCTAGCACCAAGGAGAAGAGGTCAAGGCCATTTGACTTAAGGCAGAAGAGTTCTGAGGCCAGAAGATGAAACCAGACCCTCAGGATGCTGGCTGGGCAGCCTGGCATCTCACTCCTGAGTGTGTGGGCTTCGTGACATTCTTCTCCCATGGTGTACCCTGGTACCTGGCAAGCTGATGCCCAGTGCCAGGGCTCATGTGGCACCTGTCCCTGTTCCCAGGATCAGCAGCAGGCCCGGCAGTCTCAGCTGGCTCAGGACGAGCGTGTCTCCCGCTCTTACCTCGCCCTGGCGACAGAAACGGTGGATATGTTCCATATCCTCACCAAGCAGGTCCAGAAGCCATTCCTCAGACCGGTGAGTGGAAACTGTCAGAGTTGTGTTTTTGGGGTGTGTGTGTGTGTGTGTGTGTGTGTGTGTGTGTGTTTGGCTTTTAGGGGTTTTTGTTGGGGTCTAACTGTGTAGTTCATTCTGGTCTTGAAATCACTGTGTAGCACAGGCTGGCCTTGAACTCACAGCGAACCTCCTGCCTTGGCCTGTGGAATGCTGGGGTTACAGGGGTACGCCATGCCTGGCAGTTTTCCAGTCCTAGAAATACTAATGTCACAGTAAAAAGTGAAATTTTGTTACTGATGTTGTTTCCACTTATACTGATTGATGCTACGGTGCTCTGCTGATAGATATCTGCTGTCACCATGTAGTCTGCAGATGGTCACTTCCAGGGTGACTTTGTTCATTTTCTGCTTAGACAGCACACAGTACATTGGATTTTTTGATATTGGAGTCGGGGCTTGCTTTTATCATTATTGATTCCTTTGTTTTATTTATAGGGAAAGTATAATGTAACATAAATTGGAGTACATTAAGTAGGATGTCTTATGCCATGTTAAATCTTCGGTTCTCTTAGATAGTTGTGTTAACATTCAGGAAGCTGTGCCTGTAATCTCAGTACTCTGGAGGCTGAGGCAAGAGGATCTCAAGTTTGAGGCAAGCCTGAGCTACATGGAAAATTCAAGCCCAGACTGGATTATATAGCAAGACCCTGACCCAGAACCCAGAATCTCAAGCCAAGCATGGTGGCACACACCTGTAATCCCAGCACTCTGGAGGCTGAGGCAGGAGGATCACTGTTGAGATCAAAGCCAGCCTAGGCTACATAGTGAGTTCACGGCCAGCCTGAAATACATAGCCAGACCCTATCTCAAAACAAAAAACAAGAAAAAAACAAAACAAAAAAAAAAACACTAAAACTCTCCTATTTCAAAGAAAAATTACCGACTCTACTCTGACTTCATCCACTTTACAGCTTCTCAGCAGTGGAATAGAGGAATGCTTTGTGCAAACACAGATTCTTGGAAGCCGGGTGTACTTTGAATCTGTGTAGATCCAATCATTGTATTCATGAAAACCTTGGTAATCAAGACAGCTTTTGGACTCCCTTTTTATGGTCAGCATTTAGCATTTTCTAATTGGAAGCAAGATTTTCCTCTGCTTAAAGCAGTGTGTGCTATCATCCTGTGGGGTTATTGTGTTGCAGAAGGAACTGGCAAGTGACACGCACATGGAGATGAGCTGAATGGGAGTAAAATAATAAAAAGTTTATTTTGCCAGCAAAGGTCGAGTCACACTCAAAAAGGCAGCGCCAGTGATCGACCTCCTACTGGGTTGCAGCTTCCTCTTCTGTATGTTTTACAGCTGTGATCACATTCAGGTGGTTACAGTTCATTTCCTCAGTTCACATTACCCATGTACAAATTACAGTAACCAGACAGTTCACTTAACCCAGCCGTAACAATTCCTTGTAGTTAGGGAGTTTACCTGAAGATTCATCTAGCTATCTATTCTAGTGCACAGGAAGGAGGTGATCAAGGTCAGGAATGAGGCCAGATGTCCCCCTTCATGGTCAGTGCCTCCGGTGTCTGTTAATTTTGAACTAAGCAAAGCAGATTGCTGTTAGAGACAGCAGAAATCATTTTACATTTTCCTAACATTTTGTGGGTTTTTAGATTATTTGCAAAAGTTCTGTGTATCGTTTGCGTAGTAATACTATTTTCTATGTGCTTCGTGTCCTTTTACTTTGTCTCATTGGCTAGATTTAAACTATTAAAGTCATAAATTTTGTTTCCTTTTGCATTTCCTTTCTTCTACCTGATAAGGGAATACTCTAAACTATCAAGGAATGTACCTGAAAGAGCTGAATCCAAAGCAGTGTTGTTGTTGTTGTTGTTGTTGTTGTTTTGGTTTTGAGACAGGGTCTCACTATGTAGTCCAGGCTGGCCTTAAACTCATAGCATTCCTCCCGCCTCAGCCTCCAGAATGCCAGAATTTAAGGCATACACCACCATGCCCAGCAATAACCAGAACTTTTGTGACTCAAATGATGATGGACATATGAATAATTTGCCCTTTTTTACCTGTTGTTCAATAAATTGGGAGTGCTACTTTTATGATTAAAACATAAATTTAGGCCAAGTGTGGTGGTGCACACCTATAATTCCAGCACTGGGGACGCTGAGGCAGGAGGATCATTGTGAGTTCTAGGCCAGCCTGGACCACCTAGAACTATATAGTGGGATCCTATCTCAGAAGACCAAAAGAAAGAAAGACAAACCAAAATAGAAACTTCAGGAAAAGCTTTTGTGGTATTTGTAGGTATGCTGTCGGCCTGCAGCATTCCAGTAAGTATTAGAATGTTCATCTAAGAAACAGGGAGTGAAGAAAAGTTTGAATGTGACACTGGCCTTCTTCAGCTTATGCTGAAGGGATTTTTCTAAAGATTAAATGAGCCAATTTCTGGTCCTCCCCTGCAAGGGTGCTGCCAGTCCCTGTCATGGTCTCAGCGGCACAAACTGTGCCATTTTCCTGTGATTTCCTAGGAACTCGGACCCCGATTGGCTGCGATGCTGAACTTCAATCTTCAGCAGCTCTGTGGCCCCAAGTGCCGTGACCTGAAAGTCGAAAACCCGGAGAAGTATGGCTTTGAACCAAAGAAGCTGTTGGACCAGCTCACGGATATTTACCTGCAGCTGGACTGTGCTCGCTTTGCGAAAGCCATCGCCGATGACCAGGTCAGTACTGCTGCTGCCGGGGAGCAGGGCCCTGCCTGGGAGTCTGTGCAGGTATGTGGCGTCTGTCCGTGGACTTCCTGTTTCACATGGAGACAGGTGAGGCTTTGGCAGGTGCGGGCCTGGAGGTGTGAGCGTGTAAATGGGAGTACTGACCACAGCGGCGGGCAGGCCCTGGTCACATGCGTGAGCTGCTCGGTCCTTCCCGTCTTGCTGTGGGCCCCAGCAAGTCTGCTCCTCCTCGGGCCGCCCATTCCCTGGTCTCCCAGGTCAGACACCTCTGTGCTCTTCAGCCTCCGTTCCTCCTGTCCCCGGGTTCAAGTCTGTCTTTGGAATCTTCCACAGGCCTCAGTTAGCTCAGGCCACTCTGTTGCCTCAGGAAGGACTCACTTCCTCCTCGTCCTCTGTCCTGTTTCATCTATAGCCCAATCATAGGTCGTGTTCACGGTCTGCCATGATGACAGTTATTCATCTCATGTTGCCATTCACTTTACCTTGCAGAAGTCTGCCACGTGGGTTATTTTAAAATGAGCAAAATAAAACAAAAAGTGAGAAGACTGTCAGGTGTGATAGTGCATACCTATAATCTCAGCTGTTCAGGAGGCTGAGGCAGGAGGACCATAGCCTGGAAAACGTAGAGAGATTCTGTCTCAAAAAAAAAATGTAGAAAGGGCTGGGAAACCCTCAGTGCAAAGGCCCTGGGTTCAATGGTAGCTGAGCAGAAGAACTCTTGACAAGTGTACTCAAGGCTCTGGGCTCCATTCCCAGCCCCAAGAAAAAGAAAATATTAAACAAGACTGTAATATTCCTTTGAGATACACACTCAGTGTTCTGGTAGGTGAGAAGCAGGAGCAGTGAATTTAGGAAAGACTATGCAGCTATTTATTATTTTGTGGTACTAGGGATTGAACCCAGGGCCTTCAAAACTGAACTGTGTCCTAGCTCTTTCTTGTTTTTTATTTTGAGATGGGTTTACTAAGTTGCCTAGGTTGGGCTCAAATTTAAGATCCTTCCAGCTTCTGCCCTCCAGAGTTCTGGGATACAAGCGCATGTCATCTGTTTGTTCCAAAACATTTCTGATACCCCGAAAGAAAATCCTATTCCCATTACACAGTCTCTGCCTATTTTCCCCTACAAATCATTAGTCTGTTTTGTTGTTGTTGTTGTTGTTGTTGTTGTTTTCTCTCTCTCTCTCTATTTTACCTATTTGTTTATTTTGGTGCCAGGGATCAAACTCTTTATTTATTTATTTTTGAGACGTCTTACTGTATAATTGAGGCTGGCCTTGAACTCTTGGTGATCCTCCTGCCTCCGCCTCCCAAGTGCTGGGATTACAGTTACTGATTTTGGATATTTCACGTAGAATTAGAATTTGTAATGTATAACCTTTGCATCTTTCTTCTTTCACTCAGTGATGTTTTTGAGGGGCTGAGAGCGTAGCTCCAGGGTAGAATACTTGATTAGTATATATGAGGCTGTAGGTTCAACCCTCAGTGCCGCATGATTAAAATTAAATAACCGAATAAAGGTTTTGAGGCCCCTCCAGGGTGGAGGCCGAGTGAGTATTTTGCTCCCTCTCTGACAGGATAAAATCCCATCTCATGGGGACACCACTGTTTGTTTACCCATCTCCCACGGGCGAGCTTCTGGCTGGCTCCCGCCTCGGGCAGTGAAACCGGCGCTGGTGTGACGGTGTTGTGAAGTGGGTGTCTGGACTGTGGTTCTGGGTCTGAGCTCAGGAGCAGGGCCGCGACCAGGGCCCTGCCTCTCCCCATCTGCAGCAGCCCGGGTTCATTCCTGGCCAACAGATGGGTGATTTCTTGGCCAGCCATTGGTGGGGGTGCCGTCTCATTTCTATGGTGAGAAAGGCAGTTGGATGCCTTTCCCGTGCATTTCGGCCTCGTGTAGTCTCCTGAAAGAAGTGATAGCTCTGAAGTCCTGGCCTGCTTTGACTCAGGGAGTCTGCACACGCTTGCTGAGTTGGAGGTGGCTCTTGTGTACTCAGGGTACCAGCTACCTGACCTCCTTTTGCGGTGGTTTCCGTGTTCACTGTGCAGCCACTCTGCAAGGTGCTCTGAGTCGGCAGTGGCTTCCAGGCCGCCCCTCTGTCTCCTGGTTGTATGTGCCCTCCAGTCTCCCTCTGTTCCCAACCCTTCTGTTAGTTGCTGACTTCAAGCAGGCCCGGCCGGCTGGCTCACCCACACTGTCTTTGTAGGAGCTGATGTCTGGTGAAGATGGCAGCTCCTGTCCCAAAAAGAAGCTGATGGTACAGGAAATCTCAGTGCCCACGTCAGCCTTCAGGAATTCTGTGTGTGTCCATTTTTGGTTTTTTGTGGCTGTAGTGGTTGTTTTTGATGGTTTGTTTTTTTGAGACAGGGTCTCTCTACTAGTTCAGGCTGGCCTTGAACTTGCTGTAATCCTCCTGCCTCAGCCTTCCAAGTACAGGAATTACAGGCATGTGCCACCATGCCTGGCTGTCCCTGTACATTTTTGCCCTTCTTGTATTTTCCTGTAATCTTTCAGCTGTTTGTCCTTGATGGCTTAACTGGCAGTAGACCCTGAATCAAGTGTGTATTGAATTAAGTATTATTTAGCTTTAGGAAACCATAACCGAGGTGCTCCCAGCTTTCCAGGGTGCAGAAGGTGGCCTATGGGTTGTTGCCAGGCCTGGCCACACTGTTGCCACCTTCCCTTCCCCCAGTGCATGGTTAGTGAGGAGTTGAGTATGTGCAGAGACAGCAAATGTGTGCCCTTGTTCAGAAACTGAAGATTGAAAAAGAAAGAAGAGCCTGGTGTGGTAGTGCACACCTGTAATCCCAGCCCTCAGGAGGCTGAGGCAGAAAGGTTAGGGATGTGGAATCCAGTGCTTTATAAAAACATAAAGTTGAGCCCACGCCACCAATGTTGATACAAATGCACAGATAGAAACTGCAGGCTCCAGAAGCAGGAGAGAGCAGTGGGGTCAGTGTGTGCCCCCCAAAGGCAAGCCCAGATTCTCAGGGCCTGCTTTCTTCCATCAGTGAAGAAGCCTGGCGCGGACATGCTCCTCTGCTGACGGGGTGGGAAAGCAAATCCTGAGACCCCAACGTTTGCCCCGCTGGACAGTGGGACCCAGTTGGGATCTAAGTTCTTTGGCCTTGCCTGGTGTGAGTAGAGATTGTGGTCCCATTCCAAGGTCTCGGCATGAGTCGCTCTCCTTCTAGATTGTCAGTATCGGTGAATCAACAGATGCCCCCGTGTCTGCTGCACATGTGGAATGTGAGCCACTGTGCCGTGTTGGAGAGGCAGTGAGTACGTGGACGAGGTGCCCGGGTGACTCGGACACTGAGGGACCTGCTGCTGCAGGGTTGGCTTCCCCTGAGCCCGCAGCCTGGCCCTGCCCTTCTCCAGCACGGGCCCCACTGCCGTTTCCCAGGGCATCTGATGTCAGCAGAGGGCCTGACATCTTTTATGTGGCTATGAATGCGCAGAGAAAGTCTGGGGCAGATCACATACTGTGTAATCGTGTATGACTTAGGGTTTGGGGGTCCTGCTTTGCGTGACTCTGCCTCTTGCCCTCTGTGAACTCACACCTCACTTGGCCTCTCCTCATTTGCAGAGATCCTACAGCAAGGAGCTGTTTGAAGAAGTTATTTCAAAGATGCGGAAGGCAGGGATCAAGTCCACCATAGCAATAGAGAAGTTTAAACTCCTCGCGGAGAAAGTGGAGGAGATTGTGGCCAAGAACGCACGCGCAGAAATCGACTACAGCGATGCCCCGGATGAGTTCAGAGGTGAGGGGCCCGCTCTTTCGTGCCGACTTCTGGGAGTTCACAAGGCAGTGCCTGCTTGTAATGTTTTGATGGTGTGCTGTAGCTGCTTCTTGAGAAGCTTTGTCTGAAATGATGTTTGCTGATATTTAGCTAATAGTATAAAGTGAAAAGTGTTTTTTTTTTTGTTTTTGTTTTTTGTAATGGGAATCAAACTCAGGACCCTACAGACATAGCACCACGGCACCACTGAGCTAAATCCCCAGCCCTTTTTTTTTTCTTTTTTGTACCGGTGATTGAACTCAGGATCTTGAGCTTGCAAAGCAGGTCACGGAACCACTGAGCTAAATTCCTGGCCCCATTTTTTTTTTCTTTTTTTGAGGCAGGGTCTCACTATGTATTTGAGGCTGGTCTTGAACTCACTATGTAGTAGCCCAAGGTGGCCTCAAATTATGGTGATCCTCCTGCCTCAGCCTCCCAAGTACTGGGACTAGAGATATGTGCCACCACATCCCGCTTATGAATTAAAAGGAAAGAAATGTTCTTTGCCTGATTTTAAACCATGCTACATCCATGATGTTGTTTTAAAGGCAGCTTTGCCTTTGCAAGTGAAGATTCACACTTTCAAAGAATTCAGAGACATCTTAAAACAAAGAATCCCAATATACTGAGTAGGAAGATTACAAGTTCAAACCCTGCCTGGGGAAGTTAGTGACTTAGTGAGAACCTGTATCAAAATTCTAAAAGTACAGGGGATGTAGCTCAGTGCAAAGGCCCTGAGGCCAACCTCCAGTACTGCAAAAACAACAAACAAACAAACAAAAGACAAAGGATCCAGGCCTGCTGGGCCTGCTGTGTGACTGTCCCACTGTCTTTCCTAGCCTCTCCTCCCAGCAGAGTTGACAGGAGGGTGCTTTCCCATCTAAAAGGCAGTGCTTGTGCCTTTATCTCACACCCACACTGATTTCCTCCTGAACTTGAGCCCCAGAGCAGCCATTGGTTAGGTTCCTTCAGATGTGTTTTTCCTTCGTGGCAGGGGCTCAGGTTTGTTCTCTTTTCTGTCCTGGCCTCTGGTTGGCTCTGAGCTCGCCTTCTTTGTCCCTGCAGACCCCCTGATGGACACCTTGATGACAGACCCTGTGCGCCTGCCCTCCGGCACCATCATGGACCGCTCCATCATCCTGCGGCACCTGCTGAACTCCCCCACTGACCCGTTCAACCGGCAGACGCTGACCGAGAGCATGCTGGAGCCAGGTGGGCACGCACAGGCTATGGAGCTCAGCAACAGGGCAGCACCTCCTCTTCCCGTCAGTTCTTTCCCTGACCCAAGGGACTCGGGCCACATCGTGCAGTGGCGCGCTCCCAGCCGAGGTGTTAATCCTCTCTCTTCTTTCCCTCAGTGCCAGAACTAAAAGAACAGATCCAGGCGTGGATGCGAGAGAAACAGAACAGCGATCATTAACTGACCCCTTCACCACCCTCTGCTGGAAGCAGCCGGGGCCAGCGGGGCAGGCAGGAGCAGCCCCTGGGCTGAAACCGCTGCTGTGTTGGGGCAGGTCGTGCCCCCGTCCCTGCAAGCCCATCTCGAGCGACCAAACTGCAGAGACCGGCAGGGCCCCGGCTGGGAAGAGGCGCCCAATGCCTGTACATATATTTAAGTGACACACAGTCAGGAGCCTAAGGGACGAGCTTGATGAATGCTTACGTGATGAAGTGTGTCCCTCACATGTCACAGTTGGGGCTTTGGTGACGAAAGCGTTTAGTGATGACAAATGGGTCCGGGCAGCGGTCCCCTTCATCCTTTTTTGTTTTTGTTTTGTTGGTGTTTTTAAAATCCAATATCCGTTGATTTGATTGTGATTAGAGAACTTGGACATTTTGCTGCTAAAGAATCTTCCCCTCCTCCCCTCTACCTGACCCTACTTGTACTGCTGTGGATTTTTTTTTTTAAAGAAGCAAAAACACAAACAAGCTCCTTTCCCCAGCCCTCCAAACATATATTCTGTGAGATAACTGTGCCTGCAACAAAGTGTTAATCCTGGGATCGTATTTTTATATCATATTCACATATTTCTTTTTTAATTAATTGGTATTAGATGACATGATTAATAAAAAAGGCAAGATATTTTCAGAATTTGAATTTCAGGGTTTTTTTTTTTTTTTCCTTTTGAAATGTCCCTTTTAAATTTTTTTTTTTTATGACAAACCAAATGAAGAGAACCCTGTCACTCTCTGGTCTTTAGAACAAGCCCTGTTAGGCATCGGAGGAGCTGTTACACAGTGGAGGGCCTTACCTAGTCCTGGATGGCCGGGTTTTTGAAGGGGAATGAGGGTTGTTTTCTTTTCCTTTTTTCTTTCCTTTTTCCTTTTTTTTTTTTTGAAATACTGTGTCAGTTCAAACCTCCACCTTTATCCGCGGGAGGGTAGATGAATTCCTCAGCCTTCAGGTCAGGGGTTGGAGGCGGGGCTCATTTGTACACCGCGTCCTTTGGGGTTCGGCCTTACCAAAGCAGAACAGAGTGCAAGAAATGTGGACGTGTGTCTGCTGCTTTCAACACACAGACAAACATGCACTCGCACACACATGCGCGCGCGCACACACACACATACACACACATTTTGTATTACTGCTCCCTACGTGACATACTTGAATTCTTCAGTTTCCTTTGGAATAAAAAAATGGTTTGAAACCATGAAGTGTTTTGGAAGAAACTGTCTGAGAAACATTCTTTCTTTTATCTTTTCCTCCCTCCCCTCCACAATGTCCTCTGTTCGATTCCTAACGCAAACGACAATAAACAGTGATACACAGCAAGAAGGAACCTGAGTCTCTTTCTTTTTGTGGAAGAAAAAAAGGTGGCGGGCTAGCAGGAGGCAGTGAGTGTGTGTGACTGCTCCCCTAGCTTTGGGGACTCCTTGGCTGGCTCTGTCACACCAGGTCTTTCGCCTGTCTCCAGGGTTACCGACCTGGAGATCTGTGCTCTGATTGGCCAGGTTCAGAGGTAAGCCCCACCCATCACCGGCGTAGTCCCACCCGCTTGGTGTGGAGACTGTTTAGCAACAGGCAGCCCTCGGGCATTTCCTGTGTGCCTGTGCGCTTCGCGCCAGACTAGGAAGACTCCTACTGATTATTTCTGGTGGTGGTTTTGTTTTAACTAGGTCAGGGTGTGGAATGCGGAGAGGTAAGTGACTTGTGCAATGTCACTAAGCCGGTTAGTTGAGTGGGCCCACGAGGCTGTAGAGTACATGCGCCTGCCTAACTTGGCCACATCTAGAACATTTTTTCCCACAAATGTACAGTATTCATTATAACAAAATTTAGCCAATAGAAGCATAAGGAAACATGGAAATCACCCACAATCCCACAGCAGAGGAAACCCTGTTAATTTAGTTTACTTTTTCTTTAAATCCCTATAATGGGAGTACTTACTGGCACCTTGTGTGATTTTGTACCAATGTCTGTCTCCTCCCCGCTCTCAGGAGGCACGGGTGGTCTGGGGATTTGAGTTCCCCGTAATCCCCAGTGTATGCTGTAGGACCTGGGTTTCCAGTTATCCGAATTGGTGGGTTAGGGTTAGGGTCCTGGACAGCCCCTGCCTGTCCTGTCTCTGGGGAAGGTACGTAGGGTTTCTCCTTTTAGAGTCTCGGGGTGGCTCTTTTACAGAAACTTGTGTTTGTCCCCAGCCTGTTAATTATGGATACTCCAGAATATTTCAAAAGTAGGTCATGACTACAAGGAAGATTGTCCAAGAGGAAGGCAACTCAAGTCAGATCGGTGGGAAAGGTGATTCTTAGAACTTCCTGTTTTCTGACACACTTGTGTGTGGGCTCCAAAGAGGCGTTGCTAGAATATCGGTTGACAAATTAGCTAGCGCATTTTTCACGCTCACTTTCTGGGTTTGGTAGGTGAAATAGTGCCTCGCCTGATGTTCCTGCGGAGGTGATCTGAACAGGCGCTGTCTGACAGTCTTGGGTGGCAGCCTGAGCAGGACATGAGTACCGTGCGGGGCTGACGGGGTCACCTGGGATGGTAACAGTAACTTGCATCTCGTGAGTGTGCTGGTACAAGTCACTCCCACGCTCAATCCTGGGCGGCCACCGAGGGAGGGCGTAGAGGGGACAGACTCCTGAATCCAGGGGTCCGGTCCAGATGGTTCCCAGCATCCGAAAGTCTTTGGCTGTAACGTGCAAAACTGAGCCCTGTGTCCTCCAGCCTGCTCCTCGCATCCCCATGAATGACGGCCTCCTCTTTCCAAGTCCCTCAGACTCACACTCCACTCCACTGCGCTCTGGGCTCACCCTTCCGCAGTCCCGGGCTATTGAAGTATGCCTCAGGACTCCTCTTCCTCCTGCTCCTCAGCCCTGTGTCCTTTCTCAGGAGCATCAGCCTAGCAAACCCGATGCCGTGGGTGCAATCCCCAGCACTGCAGAAACAACAAGAAAGGTAGTGGTGAGGTAGGTGATAGGTCTAGGAATTTCACTTCTGGAGACTGAAGGGGAGAGTTGCGTACTGACTAAAGAAGGTTGGATCTGCTAGGGTTGAGAACCGTGGTTTAGGGGCCAGACAGCATGTGAAAGCAGAACTCAGAAGCCTTGACTTCCTTTTGTAAATCCAAAATGTTGGTCCATTGTACACGCCTTGCTTCCCCATTTCTTCAATTTGGTTTTGGTTTTGGCTTTTTGAGACAGAGTCTTGCTATGTAGTCCAGGCTGGCTTTGAATTCACTATGTAGCCCTGCCTGGCCTCGAACTCAGCGATCCTCAGCCTCCTGAGAGCTGGGATTACACTGCACCTGGCTCTTTACTCTGCTTTAAAATCTTGCCCAGGTCATTGGGTTCACTGGGTATGCTTCTCTTTTCCTCATCATCGTGGCAACAGTGTGGACAAAATCTCTGCCTGCACATAGGGGAATAGGAGTCCCCTCTGTTCTTGCGTCTATAGCATTCTCTCCTGTTGCTTTACTCCAAGCATCTCAAGCTTCCTGTCAGCCCCTGCACCCCAAACCCAGTGCCACATACGTTATGCTTAGTTACATGGTACCCGTTTCTAAGCAGCTCAATCCTGCTGCTATACACATCACCCACATCCGGGCATGGGGGGCCATGCCTGTCATCCCAACACTCAGGAGGCTGAGGCAGGAGCATCCCAGGAAGTTTGAGGATAAGGAAGACTACATAGCAAGACCCTGTCTTTAAAGAACCAAACACAAATAAAACAGAAATTGTATTATGCCATTGTGTGAGCTCAGTAGACTCCTCCCTCAGGAACTGCTGTGGGTACAGCCAGACGCTGGCTGCCCTCCAGACCCCTTGGGGCTTCCTTATCACATCTGGCTGTGGGCTGTCTCTGCCGCCTCTCTGAGGTCTGAGTAGGTTCCATGTGTTGGTACTCTTCAGGGGACCCAGCAGCGCAGGTGTCATATAGTGGCTCTGCCACAAACCCACCCTCTCCGGGAGGGCCGTCACTGTAGTATTTTTAAGAGCAGTGTAGCTGTTCATGTTGGCACATCTGTAATGCCAGCAATATAAAAGGTTGAGGCCAGAGGATTGCAAATTCAGCCCAGTCAGTGTAACTTAGCCACTTAGCAAGATCCTGTCTCAAAATTTTTTTTAAAAAATTGTTTAAAAAAGGCTAAGGATGCAGCTCAGTGCAAAGGCCCTGGGTTCTATCCTCAGTACAACTGAAAAAAAAACCATATGGGGTGAGAGTTTTATTTCAGTGCTAGGGATGGTACCCAGGGCCTTGACATGCTAAGCACCCACTCCCACAGAGCTCTACCCACAGCCCAGGGAGGTCTTGTTCCATACAGGTATCTTAGAAACTGGTGGGAGGGCCAGGGATGTAGCTCAGTGGTGCTGCACCTGCCTGGCAAGCTCAAGATCCTGAGTTTGATCCCCAGTACTGGGAAAAAAAGTCATATAGAAAATTTGATGGCACATGCCTTTCATCCCCACCACTCAGCAGGCTGAGGCAGGAGGATCACTGTGAGTTCAAGATCAGCCTGGGTCACACAGCTAGACCATGTCTCAAAACAACAACAACAAAATGTAATGTCACACAAGGCTGCCTTTCTGCGTATTGTACCCCCTTTTCTTCGTGCTCTTTTGTAGGGGTTCTTTTGTCTTCTTGTAGAACTTTGCTCCCTCATCAGTTTTTGACATTGTGAATTTCCTCTCCCAAACTGTTGTCTCCTTTACAGCATTGTTATGGTCTCTTTTTAAATGGAAATTCTGAATTTTAGTATTGTCACATCTGTATTTTTATTTATGGATACTCGTCACTGAAAATGCACCAAGCATCCGATTCAGTGGTATCTGGGGCACTCATGATGCTATGTGCTTTCCAGCCCCCTCTGGGTCTGAATCCATGTTTTATTGCTGTCACAAAATTCCGAGTGATTTAGAAAGAATAATGGTTCAGCCAGGTGAGGCAGTGCAGTCTGTCATTCGAGCCACTTGGGTGGCTGAGGCAGGAGGATCACAAATTCTGGGACATCCTGGGCAGTTTAGCGAGACCCGGTCTCAAAAAAAGGATGGAGGGTGTAGCTGAGTGACAGCACTTGCTCAGCAAGTGTGACACAAGGGTTGGTGTTTACTTTAGTGCTTGGTCCCCAGGCTTGTGAGGCTTGCGTCTGCCTGTCTTCTGGGGATGGCAGGGAGCAGGGGCACTTGCAGGCAGGCAAGAAAGAGACTGAGCAGGAAGGGCGGCCCAGTCACAGCAACTCCCTCCGGTAAGGCTGGGACCCTGCTTTTCCCTGGGTCCTCAGCGCTTCTCAGCGCCACTGCACTGCAGCCAGTTTTCTGCACGAGTGTTGGAAGGGACAAATCGCATTCCGTCCACTGCCTCTGATTCCACACTGTGGGCGTGGCCCTAGAACCCAGAGAGCTTTCTTATTCTGTTTTGTATTTGTTTTTTTTTTTTTTTGAGACAAAGTCTCGCTGTGTAGCCCAGGCTGGCCGCAAACTCAATGCAATCCTCCTGCCTCAGCCTCCCAAGGGTTGGGATTACAGGTGTGCACTACCACACCTGAGATTTTCCTTTTTTTTTTTTTTTTTTTTTTTTTTGTGGTACCGGGGATTGAACTCAGGACCTTGTACTTGCCAGGCAAGCTTGGCACCCCTGAGCTACAGATTTCGCCTTTTTAATTGACTCTTGTGAAGAGAGAGAGCAGGCGCTCGTAAAGAGAAGTGAAGGAAGACTAGCTTTTCCTCTGTCAATATGCCTAGGAGTTTGTTATTTTTTCCAGCAATACATATAACTTATTTTTGTTATTATCATGTCTTTTTTTGTTTTTTGGGGTGTTTTTGTTTTGTTTTTGCTACTAAGATTTTAAAGTTTATTTTGAGATGCGGTTTCACAAAGTTGCCAAGTTGCCCGGGCCGTGTTCAAATTTTCAATCCTCCTGCCTCAGCCTCCCAAAAGTGGTGGGATTACAAGCATATCAGCAGCACTTTTGCTAATTCCCATCTGGGTTGTTACCCCACAGCTCTCCATTATCCTGCACCCACAACCGCACCTCATGTTCAAGCAGACTTTAACTCCTCTCCCAGAATCCAACGCCCTCTGCCTCCTTATGAATGTCTTTGTCTTTGAGCTTGCTTGCTTTCTTTCTTTCTTTCTTTCTTTCTTTCTTTCTTTCTTTCTTTCTTTCTGCTGTCTTTCTTTCTTTCTTTTTTTCTTTCAGGCAGGGTCTCACTTTGTAGTCCAGATTGGCCTTGAACCCACTGTGTAGCCCAGGCTGGCCTCAAACTCACAGAAATCCTCCTGCCTCAACCTCCCTAGGGCTGGCACGACAGGCAAGGGCCACCATGCACGATTTTTTTTAGTTTTTCTGTTCTTCTGCCTCCTGTCTGCCATCCATCCTGGCCTCTCCAGGTTGGCCACGACCATAGCCGTGCAGATGACAATTTGCTGATCTCTCCCAGGAGTACTCGAGGCAGGATTGTCCGTCTTGGCCTCCAGGTAAAAGGCTGCAGCTCAGGCAGGGGACCAAGCTCTGCTCACCTGGGCCGCTGGGGGCATCTGCCTCCTCCTGGGAGTCACTCTTTGGGGACTAAACCATAAGGGGAGGAGCTTTGCTCCAGTCATTTCCAAACCCCAGGGGACCCTCAGACAAGTGGCAGAACCCTGGCCCTGAAAACAGTCGCTAACCCTTCTGCCCATGGTATCAGGTATCGCTTTTTATGGAGGCTTAAATTATTGATGCTGTTTTGTTGAAAGCTAAGCATGTTGGAGAAATTGCCACTAATGGAAAGGTAGAAAGTGGCAGCTCACTGTGATGTGGTGGGTTCTAGCATCTCCAGCACTGAGACCTTAAACTGTCTTGCAGTGTGTGTTTATGTGTGCGTGCGTATGAGAGACAGAGACAGAAGTAAAGAGGTAGAGATGGAGCCAGGTATGGTGCACACCTGTGATCCAGCATTCTGGGAGGCTGAGGCAGGAGGATTGCAAATTCACACCCAGTCTGGGCAATTTTGCAACTTACTGAGGTCCTGTCTCAAAATAAAAAATAAAAAAGGACTGGGTAGGGCCAGGGATTTAGCTCAGTGGTTCTGCCACCTGCCTCATAAGCTCAAGTTCCAGAGTTCAATTTCCAGTACCAAAAAAAAAGAAAAGGCCTTAGGATCGATCTCCAGCACTAACAAAAGCAACAGCAAAGATGATTTATCGCCAGGACTTGTCACATCACCCCACCTCTAATGTGTTTATTTCCCTGTGTTTATTTTTAGCTTCTTTGGAGATGATTTCTCTACCTTTCAGCCTCTTCATAAAATGCCACAGTACCTGTTCACATCTCAGGGAAAAGGAGGTTGCTGATGTAATGTCTTTTTAAAAACCAAACTCTTGCAAAGAAAAGCGTATTATAAATAAATAGCATAAATTTTAGCTATAAACACAGAGTCAGCTGTTTATATAAATATTGTAGATCTAAATGATTGGTTTTGCTTGGCAGAGCCTTGTAATGGAAGGCTGGACTTTATCACCCACGGACACTGCACCTAGCAAGGCTGTCAGCGATATGAAACATCTTTTGTAGCTGATTTTTTTTTTTTAGTTAGGTTCTCATTATGTAGCCCAAGCTGGCCAGGAGCTCACAGTGACCCTCCTGCCTCAGCCTCCTGAGTGCTGGGATGACAGGTGTGCACCACCACTCCTGGGTCCAGCTGAGTTCTCTAGGATGACTGAGAGGGTACAATGGCAGCCATGGTCCCATATGCATATCTCTCCATGGAAACTGGGCTACAAACAATAAATAAGGCAGAGTACTTCAGTCTCTCCTGCTCTTACAACCATTTATCTTAAAACTGTGCCTATCAGGCCAGGGATTTAGCTCAGTGGTTCCGCCGCCTGTCTTGCAAGCACAAGGACCTGAGTTCGATTCCTGGTACAAAAAAAAAAAAACTGTGCCTGTCGGGCCAGGGACTTAGCTCAGTGGTGCTGCCACCTGCCTCAAAAGCTCAAGGTCCCAAGTTTGGTCCCTGGTACCAAAAAACAAAAACAAAACTGTGACTATCCATTTAAACAGAAGAAGTATGAGCCCAGTGTGTTGGAACATATCTACATATAATCCTAGGTACTCAGGAGGCCAAAGCAGGAATATTGCAAGTTTGAATCCTGGGAACTTAGTGAGACCTTGTCTCAAAAAACAAAACTGCTGGGGATGTAGCTCAGTGCTTCCCAGATTCAATTTCCAGTGCAGGGTGGGTGGGGGGAAGGTTGACAGGAGTTAAGATGAATAAAGCTGATGGGTTTGGGTCCACACAGTGATGAACCTTAATTAAGAGACTGAGAGCCAGGCATGGTGGCGCACACCTGTAATCCCAGCACTAGGAAGGCTGAAGCAGGAGGATCGCTGTGAGTTTGAGACCAATCTGGGGCTGCATAGTGAGTTCCAGGTCAGTCTCAACTACATAGTATAACCCTGTTTCAAAAAACAAAACCAAACAAACAAAAGAGGCCAAGTGGCTCAGGATATAGTCTAGAAGCAGAGCTCCTATGGTGTGGGTGAGGCCCCGGGTTTGTTCTCCAGCTCTGTAGAAGACAAAAGAGATGTAAACTGAATGTTTCCATGGGTTCTAAGCATGTGGCTGGGAGATCGCTTCCTCCAGAGAAAAGTCAGTTTCATTGGAAGATGAGGATGACATTCAAACCCAAATCCCAGCTTTCCCTCTGCTGACTTGCTTGGGAAACTCAAACAGTGTGGAAGGTGGTAAATAAGGGAAATAAAAGAAGGTTTCTTCTTTTTGTTTGCAGGACTGGGGGTGGAAGCCAGAGCTTCCAACCGAAGAGAAAGGCAAACCAGTCTTTTGGAAGATAGGGGTCTTCTGTGTCTCTGCTCTGGTCTCAGCTGCAGGCTAAGAGCCTGTGGTGGCTGCCAAGTAGCACTTGTGCTGTGGACTAAATGTGCATCTTTCTTTTTCACAGTTGTATCTTCTTGTCAGAGTTGCCCACATTCTTGGCTGTGGCTGTGGAGGTTGTGGGAGAAGGAACTTCAATAACAGCACCTCTATGGCAGAGCTCCCAGCCCGGCTTCCAGGGCGACTGGCTGACTTCTTAGGGTCTGGAATTCAAGAAAAGAGGAGTTGATATAACAGACTATAATAGAGATGATAACGGGGCAGCAGAAGCGACCACAGCTCAGGATGCTGATCCTAACACTACCTGATTTGCTGTGTAGCTTCGGGCAAATCACAGCTTTTCTGAACCCTGGTTTCCACACCCATTCACCAGCCACTGAGCCTTTTCTGGCCTGTGAGTCTGCCTGAGAGGCCTGCTTCTTCAGAGTGGAAAGCAGATTTGGTCAGCAGAACTATCTATGACGGGCAGAACCACTGAGTTAAATCTCCGGCTCTCGGCTTCCTTTCTTTGTTGGTTAATGCTTAGTTTCTGTTTGTTTGTCTGATGAATAAGGGGAATTTGGTGCTATGCGTAGAGCTAGAAGTTCCTCAATTTGAGTTCAGTCTCTCCACCACCATGGACAGTGACATAAGTAAATGACTTAACCTTTATGTCAGTTTCCTGTGGCTGCTACCACAGAAGCTGCCAGCTGTGGTGCAGCACATTTGTAATCCCCACTCTTGGAGGCTGAGGCAGGAGGATGGCAAATTTGAGCCCAACTCGGGCACTTGAGCAACTTAGCACGACCCTGTGTCAAAATTTTAAAAATCAAAAAAGGGTTGGGATTGAAGCTCATTTACAAAAGCGTTTGATTCAGTCCCAGTACCAAAAAGAACAAAGCAAACAAAAATGTTTATTCTCTCATAATTATTTTGTCTTTTTTCTCTAGTAATTCTTTTTTTTCTTTGTTGTTGTTGTTTTGTTTGTTTGTTTGTTTTAGACAGGGTCTTGCTGTGTATCCCAGGCTGCAATCTTCCTGCCCCAACCTCCTGAGGGATTGTAGGCTTGTACCGCCATGCCCGGCTAGCCAAGCCTCTCTTTTTATGTAAAGAGATTTTTACAATGTTCCAGGGACTGGGACCTGGGGAAGGGGCACCGTGCAGCCTCCACAAGCTCTCCCACGTTTTCTTTTAGGTGAACTTGCCACAAGAAGAAGATCTGTTTTCGGGGACTGATCACGGGAGGTGACCCATGTAAGAGGCTTTAATCCAGTTCTTGCTTTTATTATAGTCAGTGTTCAGTGAATCCAGCTGTGATCACCGCTGCTACCATCCCCGTCAGCCTCGCCCATTTAAATTCCTCCTCTCTCTGCAGAAGGAGAGACAAATCCAGTGAGAACAGAATGCAAAGATAGTAGAACCAGAAACCACATGGACGCCAATCCTTCTACTCTGTTTTATTTTATAGACCAAACATGGGAACCTAGACACCGAGCCGGGCGTGGTGGCACATGCCTGTGATCCCAGCGCTTGGGAGGCTGAGGCAGGAGGATCACTGTGAGTTTGAAGTCATCCTGGGCTACACAGTGAGTTCAAAGCCAACTTAGACCACAGTGGGGAGACCCTGTCTCAAAACAAAAACCAAATAACAACAGAGATCTTGCCCCACACCTAGGATGCAGTGGAATCGTTTTGTGTCAACATTTTACATTTTTTGATTGTCATGTGTACATGGGAAAACCCACAGGAGTGCCGAGGGGGCTGTTAGGGAGGAGAGAGGGAAGAATCATTGTTGCCACGAGGCTGTTATTGTCACAGGACTGTGCACAAGACGAGATTGGCACAAGCGCGTGTGCTCAGAGTCACACAGTGGGAAAATGGGGTTGCTGTTGCCTTTATTCCTGTGTTAGGGAAGGAACCAAGGCTACGGAGATCATACAGCCTCTTTGACAGCAGGAGGCAGGCAACAGAACCAGAAACCAGAATCTAAACAGTGTGACTGTGTTGCAGTTCAGGTCTCAGATGTCCCCAAAGGCTGGGTGTGGGAGCCTGGGCTCCTGGGGGAAGTTAGGTCACAGGGACGTGCCCTTGGAGGGCTTTGGGACTGGCCTCTTTCTCACTGTTTCCTGGTCACCTGGAGGTAAGCAGCTCTCCCACCACACCCTCGTGCTGTGCTATGCTGCTCCCACAGACCCAGAGCACAGGGCTAAGCTGCCTTGGGCCAAGCCTTTCATCTTGGTAAGTTGGGTCACTCAGGTGTTTTGTTACTGCTATGAAAGAGAAGCTGACTCAGACTGAAGGCCCGGAGCTCCATCCCTCCTTGCCAGTAAGGGTGCTCTCTAACTCTCTCTATCTCTCTAAATCACACACACTCTCTCTCTCTCTCTCTCTCTCTCTGTCTTCTTTTCTTGTT